TTCAAAGTCTTATGAAAACAAGAGTTATCATATACCGTTCGATGCGCCTCAGAAAGCTCTACAACATGGTATACCAGATTGAGGAAAAAGTTTGTGCACCGCGTTACTATTATTAATATTACAACACGGCACACGAACTTTTTCCACAACCTAGTAATATCTACCTTTTTCAACATTGAACTGTTTATTCGTTCATCATATAAGGTAAAGAAAGAGTAGTTGCGAGGCAAGGAAGAAATAAAACAATGAACGAGAAAATACAATAGGCAAATGCAAAATAGTAGGGTATAGAGTGACAATACGTAGACAAAGAAGGATCAGGAGATTGAACGGTTGTTTTCGTTCCAAACACCCAAACAGCACCCTTCGAAATTAAAAACAGAATATTCAATATTTTTCTGATAAGTAAATAAAAAAAACATTCTATGATGTTCCAAGCAAGCTGAAACACGAGTACAACAGCTATGATTGTCATTAAAACTTTCGAAATGACTTTCTCCATGAATTTCTCCTCAGATTTCTCTTTCAAAAATTTAGATACCTAGAAATATATTCGTATCAAGTACTCTTAATATAATCTTGAGGGTGAGGGTGAGGGTGTGGGTGACGATTCTAGCATAAGTTTCAATGACCTAGATGAGGGACACTCACGTGACATCTTCAGTCAAACATTCGTTCACGTCTTATTTTCTGTTCAGATTCTGTAAACAGCTTCATAGGCATTCATCATAATCGAAAAACTTTTTCATCAATGACAGCAGTGGCTTCTCAACCGTTCACTGAACTTAGTCCACTCTATGTGGCATGTCGGGCAAATAATGTGCACTTAGTGGAGCAAATTTTAGCGAATATGTCAATTGAAGAAATCAATCGAATGATACGACTGCTCTTCATGTTGTTGCTTACAATGGTCATATCGAGATTGTTCGTCTTTTACTTGCCAAAGGAGCGTCTATGATGATTAGAAATAGGTTTGGTTTACTACCAGTACAAGAAGCCCGTACAGATGAAATCAAAAAGTTATTTGAACAACGCGAACAACAAAACAATGAAAATCGTTTCGTTGGAGATACCAATTCCATTGAATGGCTAACAGTTAATGAGCGAGCAGCTGAGTATGCCGTATTTTATCGCGATTCATTAAAAAAGGCCTATGAAAATGGCATCAATTGTGATCTCCTAGTGTTTTATTTAAAGGAGATAGTTGCGAACAATCCAAAAGGGGTGCTTGACGTTATATATTATTTTCGTGCGTATTTCGAAAGCAAAGATGCTACACATATTGTGAAAGCTTATACGGTGGAATCTGACTTTTATCGTACACTGAATAAAGATCTGGCAAAAATGATAAGTCACAGAGATCATATTGGAATAGAAGTCAACATAGAAGTCGAAATACCTGGAGCAATTGCAGGTGTTCTTAGTTGCGATCCAGCGCTGCAGCAATTTTCTTTTACGGGTGACACGTTTCGAGGTATGCATGTAACGACGAATGATCTTGATCAATACAAAGCTGGTTCGACTATCATGACTAAATCTTTTTTATCTACGTCGAAAAAAGAAGAAGTGGCCGCAAGTTTCATTGTTAAAAACCTTGAACAGGAAGGTTTAGCTAGTAATTCGAATAAAGTTCCGGTCATTTGCCATTATTCTATTCGTAATCGTAACACCGCTTTGGCAATCGAAACATTTTCAATATATGAACGAGAAGAAGAAGTTCTTATTCTTCCGATTAACGTTTTCAAAGTTGTTTCCGTGAGAGAGAACAGCGGACGATTTGAGATTAAATTAGTCGAGCAAGAGCGCTTAGCCAGGACGATTTGGAGGTTGCGGGTATGTTCGGTATCATATGTCACTTTGCGTTTCCATCTTGTTATCGAAAGTGTTGCATGAGATGCTGTGGAGTTGTCGAAGCTCCTGAATAACCGAATACGTACTTTTGAACTTTATAGACATACAGAAATTCTCAATAAACTGATTTTAATTGTAACAAATATCCAAAAAAAATAAATTTGTACAAAAAAAGAAAACAAAGTACCATTCAGTTCAATTCATTTTGATCAATCATTCGTAGTTTCTCGCACAGCCATCGTCGTAGTTGCATTCGAAGTTTATTTTCAAATTTCCATTGACGAGCGTTCTTCGGTTTTTCTCCGTAACCTATCCACGCCTGACAACCGTACGGAAACGTTCTTTCGTGTTGAAAGTTCGCCGCTGGTTCAATCCAGAATCCTTCCTGATTAACGATCGCTTGAAAAACTAATTTCGAAACGTTGGTTGCCAATTTCTGTGCTGGGCATCGCCGAATATCAAAGCCCCATGACATCAGTGGAGGATGTTTAGGTAAATTCCATCGTTCGCATGAGAATGCATCTGGCTGTGCCCAGCCATTTCGATTCAATTGAACCAATGAAGTAATCCATCCTCGTTGACCTCCATACGGCTGTCGCATCCACAGATCGGTCAATGGATACAAGCGAAGTGTTTCGTTCAAAGCATTGTCAAATTGATTTTGAAAATCATCGGCGTGTTCAGAATAGACGAGAAGCATGTGACAAACAAGATCAGTACATTGAACGGTGATTGTCGTAAGAAAATCTTCGGCGACCGATGAAACTTGATGAATCTCCTCCATTTGAAAAAATGTTTCACAGCTATGGAAAAGAAAATCTTTGTCATTGTCTTGAATTAACTTCAGAACTTCATCGTAAAAGTTTTGTCGAATCTTGACATCTGGCGTCGATGTAAATCGTTTGATAATTCTGTTGATATCAAGTAAGCCGGGATAGATTCGATTAAATTCTTCATTCGTTGGAGGACGATTAAAAACCAATTGAAACGAATATCTCGAAATCATCTCAAACACATCCCAAAGAATGTTGCCTGGTTTACTTGTTAAACGAAAATCAGCCGAAATCTGCCCTATTCGTTCAATGATTATATCATTGCCGAAAGAAAACACATTTCGTCGTTGCTTCCAACTATTGTCACTGTCCAAAAGAAACGTTGGAAGAAATGGACATAAAGCATTAGTAAATTGATCCAGTGGTTTCGAACATTTCGGAAGTTTTGTCAATGTTTCACTATCGCAGATTAAATCACGACTCATCAGATGCACTTTTCCTTTCCGATTGCCAAAGATTTTCCAGATGACCGTTCCTGGTGTCATCAATGTAACAAATGCGCTCAGATATAGCACCAGTGTGTAATAGAACGACTGAACACTAACGAGAACGTTCATTGATAACTTCTAAACGAATAATCATTCCGTGTGGATCGCTTTGTCATATTGTAAAATTACCTTAAAATACATCGTGTACTTTTCGAAATGACTAGATGAAATTGAAAGCATGTTTTGGAAAAGGACAAAGTTTTATCTTTGCTTTTGTATTAATTTGTAAGTCCACCGTGAGTCATTGAAAAACGGTTCTCTCATAATGATGAGATTGTTTTCTTTAGTATGACAATGCACTGATAATAATACTACGCAGAAATAGAACAAAACTTAAGGGCAAAACGTTTCGCCGTCTTTTGAGCGGAAGATGCAAAACGAGTTAGAATGATTCAGATCGATCGAATTCGAGAGTATAGCAGATGAATTTGCTTTGATTTTATGATTTATAGTGCACGCGTGCTCTATTGATAGGTTTTACACGATAATATACGTGTTATTTTTCGTTCTTCAAGTACCGTCAGTTGTCATTACGATAGGATGACGATGCACGTTTTTTTGCTGTCGTTCTCTTGTTGTTATTTTTCATCAGCATGTCCTTTCCGAATTTCACGATTATAAAACGTCGAAATTTGCATTTATTTCTAGACAAAATAAGAAATGAATGGCCAAGATCAACGACTCGATGTTGGAATTATTGGAGGTGGGTGTAGTGGATTAGTTACGTTAAAAGAATTAGTAGACGAAGGCCATCGATGCCGAGTTTTCGAGAAGTCCAATGTACTCGGTGGTTTGTACACTCAAGCATATCAACAAGGAGTCTTTGTTTCAAGTCACTTGTTAACCATGTTCAGTGACTTTGTGGGCAAAGACGTGGACATTCTTGAAAAGCCGCGAATGTTATCATTTATTGAATACGCGCAATATTTAAATGATTATGCTGATCATTTTCAATTGAAAGAATTTATTCAATTAGAAACCGAAGTGAAGTCGTTATGGAAGGATTTTTCTGATCAGAAATGGAAAGTTCGTCTAACAGATGATACGCAAATTTATTCCTTCGATCGCATTGCGATTTGTTGTGGAGTGTTCGGCAACATCAGTCTTCCTACTTTTCAAAATCAAGATTTATTTCAAGGGAAAATCAAACACATGAAACACATCCAACGCTACGAGGAATTTCAAGATAAACACATATGCATTGTCGGTAGTGGCGAATCTGCCAGTGATATGATCTTAGCTGCAGCACAATTCGGCCAAAAAGCTTATCTATCCATTCGAAAGGATCATGGTTTTATCGTGCCAAGATATATTCATGGAGATCGATTTGGACCAGCTGATTTAGATACGTCGCGAATTCATCATTCCATTCCGAGAGCTTGGGGTGTTTTACACACTGCGATCGATATGTTCAATAGTTTGATAAAATCCTACTTGAACTGTCTCTTCTACCAAAAAGGTCGATCGACTGACTATGATGTTGTTCGACGTGCAGGAATCTACATGAATTTAAAACAAATTCGAACAAGCAATGTCTGGACAACTTACGGTACGAAAAATTCGAATATCGTGGAAGCGCTGGTAAAATATAAACACAAATGTCAACGAAAACCTGGAATAAAACAATTAAAAGCGCATTCAGTGGTCTTCGAAGACAACACTGAAGAATATGTCGATGAAATTGTTTGTTGCACGGGCTTTAAAACGTCATTTCCATTCATCGAACAGAGCGAAGACGCAGATGATACTTTAAAGCGTTACTTCACCGAAGCGAAGATCTCTCACAACTTGTATAAACACTGTTTCCATCCAGATCTAGGTGATGAAGTTGCCTGGATTGGTTTTGCTCGTCCGGCTCTAGGCGCAATTCCACCATTAATGGAACTTCAAGCCCGTTGGTTTGCTCTTCTATGTTCAAAGAAGTTAACTCTGCCAAGCAAGGCTGAAATGAATGAAAAGATTTGTAAATATGTCAAATATCTCGAATGGCAACTAACACCTTATCGTGTCAATCGTTTGACGAATCTAACGGATTATTTGATCTATTCCGATGATTTAGCGCGAACAATCGGATGTCGACCGAACTTTACTCGGATATTTTTCAGCGAGCCAAAATTATGGATGAAATTAATGTGTGGACCGTTACTAAACGCGCAGTATCGCTTAATCGGTCCACATGCAAAAGCCAAACAAGCGAAAGATGTTATCCTGAAAGCGAAATGGGTCAAACAACCGAATATTCTATATTTTTGTATGTTAACTTGCTATGCATTCTTCTATCTCGTTTTTCGAATTGAATCATGTAAACCTGCATCGTGGTATCCTTTGTAATGAATTCAAGTTTTATTGAAATTCTAACGAAGTGTTTGTTTAGAAATATATTTCTAATTTTTTTTATTTGTCCTTAATAAACAAATGAAAGGATTCTTCATCATTGCGAAACTAGGAGAATATTTTTTCGATTTAGTTTTCGAAGTCATATGGGATTTTGACTATAAGACTTCCTTCATTCTATATTCGGCTTGAAAATATTGCACTGACAAAAGAATTATAGCCGATATATTTTTTGTTGACTGCTGACAAATGGTTGAAAACAATTCGGTTGTATGTAGTATAATCTTTCTGTGTTCATGTCGAGTTTAAGGTACTGTTTAGGTAAAACAGATTTCGTATGGCGAGAGACGAACAGTTCAAGTACGAAGGGTAAGTCGATCTTCTCTTACCATACGTCGAAAAAATCAACCGAGACGATTATCAATTCGTATACGAAAAGAGATTCGGTTATCAGATTATCATGAAGATTCTATATGGCCATTTCGTTATTGGAAAAGGAGAACTCTTTCTTTAACTGATTGTTCACGTGGACATGTTAATTCGACTAATTCTCACGGCAAAATTGTTACACCATCAGTGGTCCAATGTCGAGTCAATTCGAATAGCGATGCATCATCGTTTTACGAAAGTGAACCTCGTTTATTTACTTATTATACGATCGAAGGCGAAAACGAAGAAGAAGAAGAAGAGGAGGAGGAAAGAAAAAGAAGGTCGTCAGGTTTTAAATCGAATCATCGTTCTGAACTTTAATTTGGATTTAGACGACGCGTTGGGGCTTTTTTGTTACGCCATGCTGCTGTTGTTTATGCGCGTGCGGTACACTAGCAGCTGTCCTTCTAATGGCTATTGCAGCAATTCTTGTTTTACTATGTAGGCAATCAGTTTTATTCAAGGATTTTGATTTGAAAATCTGTTTTAGTGGCCCAACCGAGAATACGAACGACGACAACAACAAGTAAGAATTTCGAAAAAAAATCAATTAAAAACTTTTGAGGATTCGAATATTCGTCATTTGAAGGTACGGTAACAACAGCAACGACTACAAGTAACTGCATACTCTTTTTTTTATCTCTATGACCTCCATGTTTTTCTAAAAGCTACCACATCAACAACATCGACTACAACATCATCATCATCATCATCAACGTCTTCCACGTCATCATCGTCCTCAACATCTTCCACATCGTCTACAACGACAACAACATCCACATCGTCGTCATCATCAACATCATCAACATCCACTTCTACATCATCGTCATCAACAACAACAACGTCTGAAACGACAACGACAACAGCATTTGATTCTTGTCAGTTATTTCTATCTTTTGAGGTTTCTTCTCATATCATTCATTCTTTCAAGGTATGAATCTTCGTTGGAATAAAACAGGTGCTGTCGTCGCAGGAAGTTCATCGGGCAATGCTGCAAACAAGTTCAATGCTCCGGCTTGTATATATATGAACGAAAATGATACGTTTTATGTTTGTGACGCTGGAAATAATCGAATTCAAGAATGGACGGAAAATGCGTCAAGTGGTACAACTAAAGCTGGAAGTAGCAGTGGAACCACTGGGTCGTCTTCATCATTACTCGATACTCCAGTAGATGTTTTTTTCGATATACACGGTTATATGTATGTGACCGATACTGAAAATCATCGCATTCAACGTTTTCTTCTGAATTCTTCTCTTGCCACANGGATGATTGATATATCATATTCATTCAAAGGTTTGTAATGTGTACAACAATCGGGTGTTTCATACTGACATCTATGCTCAAACACTTGTGTTTTACGATCTCTCGTCACGGGTATAATTGGTATGAAATCTTCTTGATTCATATAAATGGCAATTTTAATTTGATCGGACTTCTCTTTTTGAGGTAGTCGCCCTATAATGGAAACCTATATAATATTGATGCACTCTATGCATTAAGATATTTGAACGCACGCTTGACATAGCTTCGTATTATACCGTAAATTGTCCATTTCGAATGCAATCGATATTCCAAATGAACTAGAAATCAAATGAAAATTGGAAAAGAGAATGAGTTCAACTTACAATCAATTGCTCTAAGTGGACTGATAAACGTTTCTCCAACAGACACGTAATATTCCATTCCACGCAATATATCCTCACTTTTCAAAATCTCATTTCCGTCAATATCGAACAAACGTTTGAACATAACCATGGATCGGAACTTTTCCGTTGCAGAAGCGAATAACTAAATACATTAAACGATTGTCAATGTTACAAAAGGCGAAGAGTAAAGATATATACAATTTCCATCGAACATGACATACACCATACAAATCTCGAACTATCACCATTTCGAAAAACTTTTACTTGAAAATTTTTCGTTCGCGGTGTTTGTTCATAGATACGAAGCAAATTTCTAGTAAAATAAACGTCATCTCCGATGTAGAACATCATCTATGTGTGCACATTACCTTGATTGAATCACGTTCGAACTAGTATCGACAGTCAAAGATCGTTTTCTGATGCATGCGCCTTGTTGATGTTGTAAATCAATGTTTATTTGATCTCGTCGTAATGCTGATTGGTGTATAAAACTAGTTTTACAGATACTTGTAGACTGATGACAGCGACGTTTTTCTTCGAATGATGAAAGTTTGATGATCTTACAACGATCGTTTATTGTAAGTTGAGGTAGTTCTTCAGAACGAAGATATGCTGTCTCTTCAGTTCGAGAAACAGTCAATCTCGAACCGATGATTCTATATAATTGATTGTTTTGTCTACAAGTCATGTAGGTGATCTTCTATTTGCATGCCTAAGACAAACAAAATGTATTTGTCGTGTTTATCTATTGGCGATGGCAAATATCTAGAATTTTTCAAAACTGCAACGAGATAAACAAAAGAATTGAAAAGTCTTTTACATCATTTAATGAGAAAAAGCTATAACCCTTATTGAGAAGGAGATCTTTATGTAATGATGAACAAAGTAGTGATTAGTTCTTTAAAATCCAATCAAGATTTTTATTTCTGCATAAGAGTGTCACTTACGTTATTTTCTCGTGAAAACCCAACACAAATAGCAACAGTGGCACATATTTATATACTTCTACACGAGAATCGGAAGAAGAAAAAGAATCAAGGTAATTTTCACATGCCTCCTTCACCTGTTGTTAGGTTTTTTTTTCTCTTCTTATAAACAAACTCGTCAGTCTGAGATCGCTGTTGATCAAGCAGAAACCTGTAACAGGTAATATAAATGTATTAAGTATTTTTCGATCATAGTTTATTAACTACTTTCTAATAAGCAAAGCTGACGAAGTAAGATTGAGTTTACCAACTGAATACAATGTGTAAAAAATGAAGCTTGTGAGTAAAGAACAGATATAAATGATTTTTTCCTTCCTGTTGAAAAAAAAGAAATTCTTGAATTCAGCATCAAATGAAAAAAGTCTTTTCGTTCTGATCAAGCTTTTTTCACGTTGAAAGAACAACAGAAAAAAGAATTTCGAACAGGTATTATATCAGAAAGAAATAATCGTTTTTTTTACATCACGAATCAACTATGTTCAATATACAGTTATGTTAACTTTATTAGAACCAGAACTTTGACTGTTGTAGTTACTACAATCATTATAACCGTAAGTGCCGCCATGATCAGAGCGAAATCTGTACGAAAAAGTAATGTTATAAATTGATCCGGAGGTAACTAGAAATGACTGATAAATCGTACCTTAGCTTGTATTACAGTCGAAATAGCAAAAATCATTTCAATTAAATTGTTGATAAGAATTAGTTACATCAATTGAAGTACATAGACTCGAGTTACCTATATTCCAACCGGGTGATCAAAAAACTACTTTGAAAATCACCATTGATTATTAGATTGCTTGATGACGTCTCTTTAACAGTTACGTTATGTAAATTCCATGTATCTCTATAGTATCGGCCATGAAAGAGAATTATATTGTAGCATTTGCTATAGTGACGTTGCAATATAAATAAATGAATATTGTGTCCAAATATTTGTTCGTAAAATTAAATTCAGATTGGAATCAATAGAAAAATTTGCCTGAATCGATAGTTGTTTCTACATAAAAACGAATATGGTCAAAAGATTGTGTCGAACATATGTTACACATACCTATCGTCAGTTCAGTTGTTAAGACAGATGGTTTTGACAGAAATTTTTGAAAAGCATAATTTACATATGTAGAATCTATCAATCCAACATCGTTTTCAGAATAGTTGTGAATCATGTGACATGTTTCATGTGTTGATATATGATTCCATCCAATAACAGATTCAGTCAAAGCAAGACATTGGCATTGCTGATATGTTATATTGTATTTCGGTAGAGCGTTATTCCATGAAATTGTATGTAACATTATGGATTAAACCGACTCGAATTGAACGAGTTTTATTGTGAGAATTAAAAGAATTGTTATTATCATCACGTTCACATATACGTAGAATGAACGTCAATTTAAATACAATAATTCAAATACATATGAAAATGATCATCGATGCCCTCAAGAAAATAGATCGGAAAAATACTTTAAAACCTACAGTTAAACATACAATTAAATCACTTTTCACGACAAAAACAAACAAATGTTCTCGCCGAAAAAAAGCTCTTTAGATTTTAATCTATTCTGATGTTATTTAAAGGCAACATCATGATGTATCCAATAATGCATCTGACAAAAAAACAACAACATTCGTAAAAACATGCACACATACTTACATCGCCGATATAAACTGCTATTCATGAGGTACATTAGACAAGTTCATCGCTACATTCCAAAGACTGAGGATTTGGGTTGTGTTTAGAAACTTTTATCTGGTGTCAGGCTGATTTAGCGTCTGATTATGATGTCGAATGTACTTGAGATGACACAAGTTGGAACTTTTACTGTAGCTGCTCTACTTGTAGACAGATTCAAAGATGTAGAATATTGGTGATGGCACGAGAGACTCTGGAAGTATTATATTGATCATACATGTAGCGCTTAAGTATAGTATTTCAACACTAAAAAATAAGAGGTACCCTGACGAAAAAATCACCAGCGGCAAAAACACAAATTGTCGCACAATGAGTGCTTTGTTAAGAAGTACTGAATGTTGTCGATAAACTCGATGCTAATAGGGCTGTTAAGCGAGCATTCGAACTTGATCTTCCGTAAATTCAATGTGTTAGGTTTTCACCATTTCTATGACAAGGTTTATCGCATTCATTTATTCTTGGCATAACATCAAAACAAATCTCTTCACAATGAAAAAAAAAAACATTCATGAAAGTAGAACAGTATAGATAAATGACATAACAAGAAAGACGATTAGGCTGTTATTCCACATTGTAAAGCCACTTCCTGTCGGAGTTGTTGACGGTACAATCGTTGCTGTTGTTGTAGGTTCAAAGAACTTCGATGGATCGAAATCAATCTTTATGACAGCACCAATTCGATTGTAATTCTCAATCGAATTACATTCAGGTTGAGCACACAACAATGACCGATCATCAAGACTGAGATGCGAAGTGGTGGGACTCTCCGTCAAAAATGTCTTTACATATCTCAAATAATAATTATCCATTGACGAATAGCTTGCACTGATTTTTGATGTTGCATTCGCATCAACTACACCTGATATATAACAAGCTTTGGTGTTCTCTGTCGATTTATCTGAGTATTTGATAGTAGTGTCATTGGAAAACGATAAACACGAAGTGTTATTGAGTGTTTCGTTTGTTGGCATCAAGAATGGCTCGAGTTCTTTCGACTTATCGTCGATAGAAATCGATTGTAGAACACGTTTCATGTAACTATAATCATTACAACCACCTCGGGGATCGGAACACCAAAATGAAATTTTTCTGATATGTTTTAATCCATCCTTGATACTAACAACCGTATTAATGGACGTTTGAACATATTCTTGCGATGCAGACACATTTAATGTTGTCTGTTGCTGGTCTAAATCAATGGTAATTTCAATTGTACAACTTTGTTGACTCATATAAAAACTGCATTTGTCAAGAAAATTTGTCGGCAGCGTATCTGATGTTATAACGAAACTATATCGTCGTAAATCCTGACAACGATGACAGCCAAGTCTTATACTGAGAACATTTTGTTGAAGAACGATGTATAATAAAATAAAGAACTTATTCAACATTCTGTGTTTCATGAGGACAATGAGAAGAAAAAAAATATTATATTTATACACCGAAGTGAAATACCAATAAAGATAATAACTCTATTTTATTGTTGTGCAATGACATTGACGCCACTACGATGTGAATCATGAGAATGATAACAGAGCTTTAAAAAGTGTTTCTACTTTCCTCGAGTAAATATAACATAGAGGGATTTTTCATGTTCAGAATTTGTGGGTGTGTAAAGAGTTGATAAGGAATGTGCGATTAAGTGTGACACAGATACGTTCTTTTTACATGTATACAACATAAAATTGAGTTTATGATCGAAAGAACGAGAATATCTTTTGATATCGCATTCATTGTTGCCGCAAATGATGATAACATTTTCGCAGGACATAGCTGATCGATACTCGATGTACAAGAAAATGTTTAGAACATGAATACGCACGAAGAGACCGGCTTGAGTGAACGAGACAGTAGAATTGTTCTCTTGCTTATCGAAACATGCAGCATACAACTCACTTGAAAATATTTTTCATAACCTAATTTTAATGGCCTTGCTGAATGGTGTGCAGGTCAATAGATGATGACAGATGAATACTCATAGCTCAGTGTGTAAAAAGTCGCTAAAAGTCAGGATATGACAGTGTTTTCGTCCAAAAATATCAAGAAGAAGAAGAAAGTCGTGTATTTTCTTGAAGATGTTAGTGATATGTATGGGATTCTTTACTTCTTTACCTCACGATTGATTCCAAGGAGAGAAAAGAGATTTTTAAATACCATGGAATATCAATGAGAAACTCTCAATCTTTGTTTGTAGCTTCAATTATATTTCAACTATGTTCGAAGAAGAATAGCTTTCATTGCAAGTAAATGAAAGAACATTTTAAGTTTCTTTTGTCTCGACGTGTGCTCTCACTTGAGAGCATGTCGACAGAATATGTCGAAAATAGCCACAGAGTGAAAGTCGAAGTTCTTGGCTTTTTAAGATCTTTCCGTTAATACTATATTTTCTTCGTTACCAGTTTTGACTTTTCAACATCGAGAGAAAAAGAGAAAAGTCTTTACCAACAGACAAAAGCTAATTCAGTTTACTCTTCTTTTCTTAACTCGTGTGGAAACAATGCTTCTTGATTTCAAATTTGCCTGAGAAGAATTCGATGTTTTCGACATTTGTAATCAATCGAATATATTTATGTACATCTGTATTTTCGATAATTGCCAATGTCATCGACCAGTCTCATCGTCGACATTTGATAATATGTTTATTTTGAACAAACAAGTATCGTCTGTTGCCGATGTCCTATGTTTCATCTTCGTGGACAAACTGTATAGTACTCCGGGTTGGTTTAATTACCTAACAACATTCTGAGAATCTTAATTACGATGGTGAATATCCCATTTTCATGAATACTAATGGTTCTCTTCTGGATGATGTTGGACCTACAACAAATTCTAATCATCAATTGGAATCGAGTCAAAAACACTACTATTCGACCACAATTGACTGATCATCATTTTTAGAATGAGAATCGCTAACGAACAGTATAGACATATCGAACACCATAGTATGCCTGATCCTCAATAAGCAACATTCCAATCTGTCAGAAACTTTTCTCATCGGTGTATTTCGTTTGTCTGAAAATGTGAATTGATGACCAATAGTATTTCAATTTATTTTAAAAGCGAATGGCGAAAATAACAGCAAAATAGAGAAAACAGCTTTTCAAAATACTGATTTGTCTGGTTGAAATCTCGTATGTGCAACTTTATTTTGACGGTTAACTGACGTGGGGCTAGATGGCATGAAATGTTCAGCTAAAATAATAATTTTATCATTCGGTGAAAAAATAACTTCTTCCTGTTTATTCGGATTTAAAAAAATCCCGTAAAATCTGCTTTCATCATGTAAATATTTCATTAAGCGATAACCAATCGCTACACATTGATGCTTCAATGTTTCCTGTAAAATCTTATAATAACTAATTGGCACTCCAACTGGAACAAAGACCGATGCTAAGCACAAAGAAATCTCCACGCCACCAGCTGTTAACAAAACATCATAGACCTTTTTGATGTTTTTATCCTCCGATAATTGTGCAATATACTTCGCAAGTAAATTCGGACAGACGATAAAATCATCAGCACATGAAGCATTGACCAACTGTCGATTACGTATATCAGCCAACTCGATGACTAAATTGAACGTCTTCGTTGTTTTCGATTGATCAATGATATTTTGCAAGTATAACAAAGAAATTAAACATTCGGCATCTGCTTCTTCCACTAAAGCTTGCTTTTCGCTGTCTTGATTCTCTAAGACTATAACATAATGATACGAAAATATGTTTAATTTCTCTAGATCGCGTTTATTTGTTAAACTTCCAAGATGTACAAAGACCTTCTGTTCGATTAATTCATTGGCTAGCTGTGTGTTGATCAAATGTACGATCGTCTCCGAGTTTGTCAGCACGTGTAGCTCACTACCATGAGCTACATAGGTATCCAGCTCTTTGGCAATCAATGGAGCTCGAGAATTCCAGCCGAGTATGAGATTTCGTTCAATTTTTTTTGTTCCTTCACTGGCAACGTGAAATGACGGTGAAACTGTGTGACGATTTATTCCTGTTCGCGGGTGTGCATACTCGCGATATAACAAATTCTCCGAAGATAGTATCACTTTAGCATCGTCTTCCGCGATGACAATAATTTTATCATCTGGGCTGATGATTGTATCTAACCGAGGGCATAATTTTACTGTTCCATCGGCGAACATCAATCCAATGACGGAACATTTCTTATAGGAAAATATCGCGTCATGGAATGTTTTGCCAGTAAGCCCTTTTTCATGTTTGAAATAGATTTCATCATCTTGAAATGATAGTAACGTTGAGAGGATTATGGTTAAACCACTCTGTCGACATGACTGAGCAATAATACGTGCAGTTATTTCATCAGCGTTAACAAATAGTGCTTCGTCTCCTCCTAAAACAAATATTCGTGTGCCTAAGAATGTATTGTTTTCAGAAGGATTGATTTTTGAGCAAATACCTGCAATCATTGCTGCTTCTAAATTCAGTCCTACTTTAATTTCCGCGACGATATGAAAATTGATGTTATTTCGTTGTGGATCGTTTCTAATCGCTAAAACTGTTTTGATTACTCGAATGTCCGCATTATGGCTGGACTCCGCTGCCAGTATAATCACTGATCGTGCTTGATTCAAGCTTAGTTTATTTAGATCGGTGATCTAAAGTATGACAATAGATAAAATCGAAAATGGTTTGTACATACCGACATAGGATCGCCATTTCTACAGATGATTCGTGTATTTTTCGAATTAGTTATTTTATTGTTGATCATATATTGAATTTCAGTTCGATTTTTGTTTGTTAGGATAACAATAGAAGGGTTACGTTGACTTTCGTTTGCAATGATCAATTCATTGATGATGTCGAATATTTTCGGTGACCATCCGAGAATAACTACCAAAGTAAACGAAAGAAATCGTTCCTTTTCATCAATAGTTCATCTAATTTTACTTGTATGATTCTTTTCCACGACGGTATTGTGTCCCTTCTTCAATTCGTTCAGTTTTTCATCCATGAAAGTCACAATCGTACCAATCAATATAGCGATTATCACAAGACCACAGAGTATAACAATTCCGGATAGAATTCGATGCTGAAGACCGTGATCTTCCGCTGCGGCACATGGATCGAGTATACGAGTAAACGTTTCCCATAGAGCATCTTCATAATTATCCTCCATTTCAGTGAAATAATAAATTATACTGAAGATTACTATTACAACCGCAGTGATTGCAATCAACATTGGAATGATAAAGATCAAGCCATGAGCAAACAGACTATCGAATTTGTATTTTATATACGAAGATATGTAGTTAAGTGATTTCTGCTTATTCTTCTTTTGAGATGAGAAGTTATCATTTGTCGGTGTTATTGGCATTGCTATACTAACGAAGCAATCTTGAAAATAAATTGTGAAGTTATAACACGTCCCAAAATCGATATGTTGTACTTTGTGTCGCGAGTACAGAATAAAACGATCTCAGACGATCAATTCAATTCCAATCGAACCACTTCGTGTTTAACTTCGATTGTATTTAGCTAAAATTGTTGATTAAACATCAATTTTCGACTTCAGATGGCAATTTGTTACGAAAAATCATCGATACTACCTACACAAAATACGATTCGCTCGCGATACTAATGTCAAATCTATTCGAACTGAGTTTACCCGTTAATAAGATCATTAAAAACTAATCGCACTTTTATGGTGCATTACAAAAAGATTGATTTTTTTTTGTACATCGAATAATGAGAGGTGTGAATATTGTATTTATTTTTCAATTACCTGTTCGAAAATGAATGGCAAAACAAAACAAGTTCTTTTCTTTTTTTAAAAATCTCATGATAGGAAATGGGCGTTTTCGTCAGGAGAATAATGAATAATAGAAAGGCAGAGATGTGATATCTTCGTTTTACTGCCAAAAAGAAAATTTTGAATTGATGAAGATGAACAGAACTATTCCTGACATCTGTCGAGAACAAGAACATGAATATATTTACACTAAAATGACATCGCCGTTCATTTTATCAATAACACAGTTAGTTTAAATAAATTCCATACTTGATCGGCGATATCCAATTAATATCGTGTAAACACAAATGATTCATTAATTTTCACACTCCGAGGCGTTTTATGTGAGTCACTTCTGTTAAAATGGGGCAATACTTAACAGCACCAAACAATGGTTCTAAGAGTAAAGACAATCAAGTTGACAAGGAACTATGCCGATATAAATTGGAACGTCAACGCCAACATATTCCGTTCAATGTTGAATCCTGGTATCCGATTTTAAAGGTCCAAACGTTCCACACTGAGTTTCTTTCGATTTCTCCATCGATTGCACAAGCATTTGTCAATTACTATCAAGCTCGTTACAATTCCAAGACGGTTTTATTTACTCACGAACATCTGAATTTAATTGAATCGATTGAAAATCAACTAAAAAACAAACTGTTTCATCGGCCAATCAATGAATATTTCATTCGTTTAAGCTCTCGAAGTCCTAAAGATGGCGATTGTTTAAATCAACAACTCTTAAAGGACATTTACGACCAAGAATTGCATCGATTAAAAGAAAATTATCCGAATGAATATGATACGATTGAAAGTCAATCGAATATGCAGATGATTGCGTTCTGTTCCGCCCAATTCGAATGTTTGAAAGTGACCAATGAACGCGAAGCGTTAAATCTGATTTTATCAAGTGAACGAGTTTTCATCGATCTGTCCGATGCACTTCAGTGTGAGAAACTTGACGACGAGAAAATTCCATGGAACAATCATCTCATTCTTCGTCAATGGCATAGCCAACTGAATCATTCTATGGAATTCCGATGTTTTGTTTATCAATCGAAACTAACCGCCATTTCGCAATATAATCACTATTGTAAATTTTATCATTTACAAGATCAGTTGATTGTACAAAAGATCAAATTAACAATCGAGAAATATTTTCAAGACAAGATCCGAATGTTGTTTGAAAGGTGCAATGAAAACTATTCGAATTATATTATCGATGTTGGTTTGATGGTAAATGGATCAACGAACGAATTCGACTGTATTGTTATAGAATTAAATCCGTTTGATACAAGCACTGGTGCGAGTTTGTTTAATTGGACAAATGATGAAGAGTTGTTAACTGGGAAACAGAATGACGTTGAAATACGTGTGAGAGGAGATTATTATCCGAATATTCAAGATTTAATTGAATTTATTCATCAAGAAAATAGTCTGAAAACGAAGAACGATCGAACGGACGATCATCAACCGTACTTTCTGTTTTTAGATAAAATGAAAAACGAACTTTCGCAATAGATAATGACTTATGTACGTTAACGTTGAAAAATAACACTCGAAATGCAGATCATTTGCTTTCGAAAAGTCAAATTTCCATAGAATAACAAAAGGTTTTTTGAAGCAGTATTTTAATATTGTAATTACGTCTTTCCGAAAGAAAATCTATGCAGTGGAAGTTATATCCTTAAGTGTTTATTCATATGAATATCTTTTCATTTTTTAATACGATTTTATATATAAAGGAGAATATTTCACATTTACTCGTAAAACACATTTTGTCGCTTATATAAATTGCTTGTCGTCTTACGTATAGACTCGAATGACATTGGTATCAAAACTCGTACTTTATTGGGTTGTATTTGCGTGTTGTGTATCAATTATTAAAGTTAGTGGAAGTTGTTGGTCTAGTGCATGGGGTGGATGCAATGACGGTGGTTGTCGTAAGATGGGTGGCTACTGTGTGAACTTTGGTTTTCGACCGGATAATAACGATTGTCGTTGTGTACCTTTGAGAGGCAAACGATTCATTTTCAACCAGACACCAAAATAAAACATTTTTGTGTACAACTACCCTCTATTCATCAAATCGATCAAGTTTTATCTCTTATTGAAACTACTACCCTTACTGCTGTACAACATCTTATAAACTATAATAAATACAGTGTTCTCTTGCATATCAAATAAACTCGAATGTCTAAAATGTCAAAGAATCAAATCGTTGATCAATTAATAGTAACATTCACTCCGGTATTTCCATATGCAAACGGAGTACTGCTTGGATTAAAATAAACCCAAAAACTAACGTTGTAAATTTTGTCACTTGTTGCAGCAAATGATTGAGATATCCAAGTTGTTCCCGTTGAACATGAACTGTAATACGAATGACTTGTTGAATGATATTGATTGGAAGTTGATCCGTAAGTAAATGTACAAAATCCTGAATATCCTGTTGACCATCCACTTAACGAGGACGGAGCTTCGAAGTTCCCATTAATTAACCTTTCATTGCCAGCTGGATCAAGAATGGATACATCATCAATATACCATTGGCAACCTGAAGCTGCTTGAAACGTGAACTTAACAGTTACAGTTGTTGAAGTCATTGCTCGATAAGAATAGAAGTTCAAATTCCAAATATTTGCCACTGTAGTATTCGGTGCGATATAAGTCGATTTCAAATTAACTGTTGTTGTTGCTATAGAATCACAAATAAAATAAGATATTCATAGACAAAAGAAGAATTTTTCACATACTTGTAAGACTAGTTGTTGATGTCGAACTGCTCGATGACGTTACTAATGAAAAAGATGAAATCGTATTTCATAAGTTTCAATCTAAACATACAAGTTGTTGTTGTTGACCGTTGAGGTGGGATGATCAAAAAAGAATATGTTGTATTGCTTGAGTGCAGTAGCCCAATGTCATTCTGAGAGTAATTCAGAATCATTTGACATTGATCATTACAATTCCATCCGACTGCGTTGAGACGCAAAGCTAAACAACTGCATTGCATACAAGTAAGATTAGAATAAGTTTGATTGAGATCATTTGACGAAAGATAGATGGCATTTGAGACTGAACCGATATGAATTGAATAGACATGGGTGAATAGAAAGAAGAGGAGAGTAAAAATTTTAATTGTTAGTAACATTAACATCTTTGATTTAGAAAAGATCAAATGCCCGTTCTTCTATAAAAGTTTCCATCGCATTTTCTGTTAGTTCGAAAAAAATCTTTGTGCACAGTAAACAGTAGAAGTTGTATTTATAGTAGAACGTTAATAGTTCTCCTGAAAATCGAGATGTGAATTTGTAACATGAAATTATCAAAATTAGTGCTTTTCTTCAAATTGATGGAAATAAAGATAATGGAACATTACTTTTCTAGTAGAAAAAAAAACATTATTTTCAAATTATGAACGAAAATTTTGACTTCTTTATATAATTATTTTATTAATGGAAGTGAGCACTGCTTTTCCTACCGTTAATTTCAATCACAAATTAAGAATTTTTTTTTGTACCTACGGCTTACAGGTTTATGTGACTTTTAGTATAGTATTACAACAAGCACGTATCTGGAAATATTAACAGAACGACACATTTTCCTCACAAGTACACTGATACTATTCATCGTTGAGGTTGATCTTTATCGATTTTCTTTCTTGCGACAGATTATATACTATTAGTAAAGATGTAAGCAGTTATCTGTGAAACTGATCGGGTTTAGTATGTCTTTGCTTTGTTCATTCATCTGCAGTATGAAATTAGGAACAACAAATAAATTTCTCACCCAGTTATTTTATATCGAATCATATGAAACAGTATAATGCAAATCATTATCTAATAGTTATACTGGTTTGTGACTTTACATAAGTGGTAAGGATAAATTTTGTTTCAGAAAAAGCCAAAAAACGAACATTATAGGGTTGATCACTTATAACAGTCAACGATTGAGATATTCGAGGTGATCCTATTACACATGCACTATAGAACAATGCACTCGACGAGTGATATTCAGTTATTCTTAGTCCGTAGTTGGGTAGACACAACTCTGAGTAACCTGACGACCGTACAACTAATGATGATGATGCCTCAAAGTTATCATTAGCTAGTTTTTCAGTTTCAATTGTATCAAGTTGTTGTTTGACGTTGACACGCAGTGGTTAAAAAAAGAAAATATTGTACTCTCTGATTGCGATTAGGCATGGATATAACGGCAGTTGTCGATAGGTCGTCTTATGTATAGTTTTGTAGTATTACAAATTTTGTTAACAGATCAATAAAAATGTAAGAAAAAAAGCAATATACATTCATGTCCGTGGCTGATGAGCTATCGAGTTTGAGAGAGATAGCACTCTAGTATTTCAAGAAGTGCTGAATAATAGAACCTCTTTGGATAATCGGAAAAGAGAACTTCATTTTGACAGAAAGTGTCAATTATCAATGAGTACTCGCATAAAAACCAATGAATATTTCAAAGACAAAATTCACATTCGATAATTTCATCTTGAAGTGGAATTTACATCTACGCTATTCGTATGAAATAGCATATAAGTACTAGGACGCTTTTATTTCATCATATCTAGCCACGTGTAAAGAAATAATAACTCCATAGTGAAGGCAGCAAAGTAAAGATTTCCATTGGTTTTATTTGTTTGTACATGTGAACTCTTAAGAACGAAAAAGTGAAAGCCGTCCTGTATATATCGAAACATACATTACTCAGAACAAAATTCAAAGCACACAGATGTTGTTCTGCATAGTAATTGCGTCGACATTCTTCAATATTTTCCTTCTCAACTTCGGTTCGTATACATCCATAATATCTCAATATGTTTGTATATTTCTTTCTTCACTTTAGTCAACTGTGATGGCATCTTCTACCTTCAACGAGTTCCATCATCATGTGTTCAAACTACTGTCACCATGACAGAAGACAACACCACCACTACCAACTGTTTCATTTTTTCTTGGCAACAAATTGCTGACTTGACAACAATCTATACAACTTATCAAGATCCAACTACGAATCAAACATTTTATGCACGAATAGCTGCATTAACTGTCCTCGGAACCATCGATAATCATGACTTGGACTATCATTGTCCACCATCGGGCTACAACGGCGTTGCACCAGGATGCTCTACACCGAACAACACTCATTTAGTCGTTTTACACATCAACGCTCTGGATAATAAGTTGTATTCCATCAATGTTATCCTCTCAGGAACACCATTCCCTTCTCTTTCATCTCTTGTCAACAATCAACCTCCATTTGGTACTGCTCGACATGTTTTCGATGGAGGAATTTCAAGTCAATCCACTGGCTATTTGAAGATTTGCAAAAGAAATAGCAGCACTCAATGCCCTAATACCAATACTAGTGCGCATGCGTTACCGTATCCTTTACCAAGCAACACAGGCTATGGAATCTTCGGTATCAAAATGTATAATTTTGTGACGAATTCAGTGTGGATTATGGATGATGTTAATCAAATACTCATCTGTACTGCAGGAACGACATACTATTATTTCAATTCGACTGGCTTTTTCATTTATGATTATTCATCGAACACATGTACATGGTCACCAGCATGTAATTATCAATGTGAAGTTTATAATTATAACTCTCGATTTTTGGACTATGCTGGTGAATGGGTGATCACAAAGAAATGGGGTGTCGGAGATGTGAAACCAGTCGCTGCACAAGCGTGGATAGGTAATGCCATCGATGCTGCTGGTATCTTTCCTGTTATATTGTACACCGACAATGCGACAGGTCATTATATTGGTTTGGACAAACTCGATCCAATTCCAATGTCAAACATGGGTGCTTCGTATTGGTATACAGCACATGATGATACAATAGTTGGAGAAAGTGTTTTGAAGTATCATCCGAATGTGGTCGATGTTGGATGTGTGAGTCAACTAAGTGATTGGACTGGGCCCATCAGTGATGGTGAAATGATTATGACATCGAAAGATATTCGACTGATTCTTTGGGCAACATTCTTTCTGTACTTCTTTGTCGCTTAAAACAAACAGTCGAGAACTACTGCGCAGAAAAACTGCATAATGTGCACTCCGACATAATTGAAAGGTTTATTCATATAAGATCTATTGAATGAATGACTTTTTTTTTCCTTAATCGGTCTTGAAAATTCAATAAATTCTCTACGCTTTTATTTATTCTCTCTTTTCATAGATACGTATGCGGGTCTAAACCATAGAATAAACACATTTCGTCATCTAATGTTTCATTTTGCGAGTAGACGCAGATGCAGCATGACTTTTAAACGCATATATAGAACAGAAAATTTCACACAGAATGATTCACGGCGGGTTAATAGAAAAGTACGTATAAATCTGTTTTTAAGTACTGACCTTTTCTTCCTCTCAATTATAGTCATCAATTCTTTTCCTTCGTTAAAAGCTTTATAAACGAATCATGTTAGAGGGCGATGATGTCTAATAAGCTCAGATCAAAGCAATATTTTGTATACATCAATAAATCTCTCAGATTGCGAAATCAAATTAGAAGTCATTTCCTTTTTCACGCGCTGTCATCATCAGTCAAATCTGACGAAAAGATTTCTTTCGTTTGAAAAGTGAGATCCCAAGTATACTTTTAATGTCACTTTAACATTTCATTCAACCTATTTAACATACGTCAATTCATCTGCATATTAACTTATATAAAACATGTTGCCTTGGAACATTATGGAAAGAGTCAAAACTAGAGTTTTTGAACAAAGATTAAAAAGGAATGATTATTCATTCGAAAAATTTGTCAAAAACATCAATATTACTTTTCATTGCTAATTTGAAACAATCAGTTGCAAATAGTCCTATGGGAATATATGACGATTTTCATGCTTTATAATCACTGTTAGTCAGTAATCGGTTAATTAGTGGATATTGAAGTCTACTCTGATTGATTTGACTTTGTTTCTCACAAAATATAGAATGGTGTGTACCGTAAAGAAGGATCAGAAGATTGAACGGTTGTTTTCGTTGTAAACATACAGACAGTACCGTTCGAAAGGTAAAGAGAGAAAATTAAAAGGGCTTTTTTTATAAGTGAATCAAAAACATACTGTGAGGTTTCAAGCAAGCTGAAATGCTATTAAAATAGTCGTGACAAGTTTTGAAATGGGCTTCTTCGTGCATTTCAGCTCATGTTTTTCTTATTCAACGTTTTATGTCTTGATGGATTCATATGACACATTTTTTTATGAGAGAATCTATAAGAAAATAGACCTATTCATACATAAGTGTACAAACAACTAAATTTTGATTTTCGAAGCAGTCAGCTCGTTCGACTATGCATGAAAAGTTATGCTTCAAAATAAATTTTTGACCTCTTTTGGGTAGTCCTCACATCGGATTTTGTGAAGGTTCACATTTTTCGACCTGTTTCTTCTGTATCGTAGAAAGTCATGAAAAATTGTCTTCAATCCTGATATTTGAGCAATGGTCAACATATTTTGCTCAAAGTTATCATGTTCACGTTTATTAGCTAACACTCCAAGAGAAATCTTGACTATAGTTTGAGCTTTTAAAGTGTTTCACGAAAAAAATGTGTGTGAACAAATTGACGACAATTGATAAGGAAGTACAGTTTTCACACACAAAAAGTTCTATCTACAGTACTTTTTCAGCGAGCTGTAATTTCCATCGAGTTTCTTGCATTGAAAATGTTCTGATAGCTATCTTTTTATTGATTTCAACCGTGAAGAATAAGTATGACCGTGTTAAAGCTTTTCATTTCAATTGATGAATTATTTGGAAATCTTTCGATCAAACAATTCTATGCTATTTCACCTGGACTTATGATTAAACCGAATCCTGTTTCTAAACTATTAATAATACACTTCTACTCACCCTTATCCTTTGCTCTAAAGAGAATATGTCGATAATGAAATGTAAGCAGAAAAGTTTTCAACTGTTTTTCTCTTTTAACAAAGAATTCAATTTGCTTGCTAGAGTCGGTATGATAGATTTTGATGGAAAATCTTCTCACAAATAGTACACTCATTAGGTAAAAACAACAATGTTGATACCCAGTATACGTTGGAATAGTAAAGCTGTAAAGAAATATTTTTTTCTCATTTCAAAACTATTTTCCAGTAGAATTAGAATCGGTTAATGAGAGTTATATACGATAGGATTGTTTTGGCAACGGAAATTAGTGCACTTTTTCTATAACGTGTGTATCAGGTATGAATATCAAATATATCATGAATTTGAGAAAAAATGTCTTTCATCTGGAGATATATAGATCGAGTTTGTAGCGTGATCCAATCCGATCACGAGTACTACGATATCTTGATATTCAAGGAATTATCAATTTCAAAATATTTTCTCATGCAGCCGTTCTATGTTCGAGATCAATTCAACCTGCAAATAACAATTTAGGAATCTTCTGCATACTGAGATGAGTACAATATTTATAGCAGGTAAATATCATTGGAGATGAATATTGATAGGACTGCGACGATTCAGAAAACAGCTTTGCTGCACTTCTGAACTATGTTGTGAACTGACTTTTAGATAAATAGTTTATTTATAGACGAGTATATAAAATACTTAAGAGGAGCTGCTATTGCATATTTACAGTAATTTTTTCACTTCCAAGTCCTATCGGCAAAATCTGTTGCAAATAAACCCAAAAACTAACATTATAAAGTTGACCACTTATAACAGTCAATGATTGAGATATCCAAGGTGATCCTAAACCGCACGCAGAATAAAAAGATTTGCTCGGCGAGTAATATTCACCTGTTGTTAATCCGTAGCTAAATAGACATACTCCTGTGTTACCTGATGACCATGCAACTAATGATGATGACGCCTCAAAATTACCATTGGTTAATTTGTTATTTCCATCTGAGCCTTGTACTGCGACATCATCGAGAAACCATGCGTAATTACTAGATGCTAGAAAGGCAAATTTAAGAGTCACAGTTGTTGAACTCATTGCTAGATAAGAGTACGAGTACATCGTCCAATCGCCTATCGTCAAAGATTCTGGCGAGATTTGAGCTGATTGTAAACTTTGTACTGTTGTAGTTGTTGTAGTGGATGACGAAGATGTTGTTGTTGTAGTGGATGATGATGATGTTGTTGAAGTGGACGATGATGTTGTAGTGCGTGATGTTGTTGTTGTTGTAGTGGATGACGATGATGTTGTTGTTGTTGTGGATGATGATGTTGTTGTAGTGGGAGATGATGATGTTGTTGTCGTGGATGACGTTGTCGTTGTAGTAAATGATGTTGTTGTTGGCCGTTGAGGAGGGATAATAAGAAAAGAATATGTTGTATTGCTTGACTGCACTAGCCCAATATCATTCTGGGAATAGTTCATGATCATTTGACATTGTCCATTACAGTTCCATCCAACTGCCTTAAGACGCAAAGCTAAACAACTACACTGCGTACAACTGATTTGAGAATAAATATTTTGGGTCTCGTTTGACGAGAAATAGACGGCATTTACTACTGAGCCAATACGCATTAAATGGGTATCTTGGACAAGTAGTAATAATAGGAATAATATCGAAATATAAATATTGCGGTAAAACATATATTCAGTATATATATATATATATATAGGAGTTACAAACTTCTGTTTTAATATATTGTCTTTTGATACTAAAAGAACAACAGACTAAGGAAACATCCAAGAAAGCAGCATATATTTATCTATACATCATTCGAAAGAAGACATGAAATTTGAAAGAAGCAGCAGTAGAAAACACGATGAAGAGCCTGATAATAGAATCCTTTTTGATAGTCTAAAAGAAACAACTTCACTCTGGGAAAGAGCGCTAATTAGCAGCAGTAACTTCCATAGACGGCGAAAGAGTGCTTCAAGGACAAACTTCTCGTTCGATAATTTATTTTTACCTTAAAGTGATGCTCTGCACTCATTTTTTTTCTTTAAACAGCAAAGAAGCAATTTGCCGCTTTTATTTTCTCATGTGTATGGGCTCATAAAGAGAGTAGTGACACAGCAGAATGCACAAGGTGAAAATTTTGATTGGTTTTATCTGTTTATAAACATGTAATAATAAAAACAAACTAAAAACCGTTGCATATACATCGAAATAAATCGATATATTTTCATTCAATCCAAAACTAAAAGCACACAAATGCTCTACTACATTGTAATTGCGTGGATATTTTTCAATATTTTCTTCATCAACTTCAGTTCGTATATACGACAAAAAACATCTCAATCTATTTTCTCGTTTGTTTGTTCACTTTAGTCAACTGTGATGGCATCTTCTACCTTCAACGAGTTCCATTATCATGTGTTGAAACAACTATCACCATAACAGTAGACAATACCCTCACTGACAATTGTTTCATTTTTTCTTGGCAACAAATTGCTGACTTGACAACAAACTATACAACTTATCAAGATCCAACTACGAATCAAACATTTTACGCACGAATAGCTGCATTAACTGTCCTCGGAACCATCGATAATCATGACTTGGACTATCATTGTCCACCATCGGGCTACAACGGCGTTGCATCAGGATGCTCTACATCGAACAACACTCATTTAGTCGTTTTACACATCAACGCTCTGGATAATAAGCTGTATTCCATCAATGTTATCCTTTCGGGTACACCGTTCCCTTCTCCTTCATCTCTTGTCAACAATCAACCTCCGTTTGGTACTGCTCGACATGTTTTCGATGGAGGAATTTCAAGTCAATCCTCTGGCTATTTGAAGATTTGCAAAAGAAATAGCAGCACTCAATGCCCTAATACCAATACTAGTGCGCATGCGTTACCGTATCCTTTACCAAGCAACACAGGCTATGGAATCTTCGGTATCAAAATGTATAATTTTGTGACGAATTCAGTGTGGATTATGGATGATGTTAATCAAATACTCATCTGTACTGCAGGAACGACATACTATTATTTCAATTCGACTGGCTTTTTCATTTATGATTATTCATCGAACACATGTACATGGTCACCAGCATGTAATTATCAATGTGAAGTTTATAATTATAACTCTCGATTTTTGGACTATGCTGGTGAATGGGTGATCACAAAGAAATGGGGTGTCGGAGATGTGAAACCAGTCGCTGCACAAGCGTGGATAGGTAATGCCATCGATGCTGCTGGTATCTTTCCTGTTATATTGTACACCGACAATGCGACAGGTCATTATATTGGTTTGGACAAACTCGATCCAATTCCAATGTCAAACATGGGTGCTTCGTATTGGTATACAGCACATGATGATACAATAGTTGGAGAAAGTGTTTTGAAGTATCATCCGAATGTGGTCGATGTTGGATGTGTGAGTCAACTAAGTGATTGGACTGGTCCCATCAGTGATGGTGAAATGATTATGACATCGAAAGATATTCGACTGATTCTTTGGGCAACATTCTTTCTGTACTTCTTTGTCGTCTGGAACGAATAGTAGAAAACTACTGTGTAGAAGAACTGCATGACGTGCGCTTGTACGCATTTCAGAACTTTATCTGCATCTTATCTATTAATAAATGTAATAGTCCCCTTTGTCATTGTTGAAAGCTCAATTCAAGTATCCACCGAGCAATTTTTTGTTGATGTTCTCGGGTGATTCACTAGAGGTTCACAAAAGAGCACAGAAAAATGTGTTTCCAAGTACATGAGTTTTCCTCTTAGTACTTTCAAACATTTTCCTTTTTTCATCGGAAACATCAGTATATCGAGTTAAAGAGTGATGATGCCTAATTGCGCGGGCTAAAAGCAATATACTTGATCATATATCTAACAATAACTCAATTCGCCCATTAAAATCACAGATGGTTCTCATGCTACGAAAGAAATCATGCATTTTTATCATCAAAAATACCTGACAAAAAGAATTCTTCAGTTTGAAAATTACGCTTTTAACTAGACTCTCACTACCACTTCAATATTCTTTTTAACTGTTTCAGTAAATTTGGTAATGAACCTAAATATTAACTTACACAAAAACTTTTCCTTCGGAAACATTGGGAAAAGAGTGAAAAATAGAATTATAAACAAAAGAAAAACAAACAATGATGATTTATGTTTCAACAACGAGTTGCGAATATCCATTAAAACGGACGATAACTTCAATGTGTGTTGTATGACTACGACTCGTCAGTATTCTGTAACATCCTTAACTAAAACGATACCTTCATTTCAACAAATGGGAATTATCACTGTATGATGAATATGGCATGTTGGATAAATAATATCTACCTTTTTCAATATTGAACTGTTTATTCATTCATCATATAAGGTATAGAAATGAGACTTGCGAGGCAAGGAAGAAATAAAACAATGAACGAGAAAATACAATAGGCAAATGCAAAATAGTAGGGTATAGAGTGACAATACGTAGACAAAGAAAGATCAGAAGATTGAACGGTTGTTTTCGTTCCAAACACCCAAACAGCACCCTTCGAAATTAAACACAGAAAATTCGATTTTTTTTTCTGATAAGTAAATAAAAAAAACATACTGTGATGTTCCAAGCAAGCTGAAACACGAGTACAACAGCCATGATTGTCATGAAAACTTTCGAAATGAGTTTCTCCATGAATTTCTCCTTAGATTTCTCTTTCAAAACTTTAGATACCTATAAATATATTCGTATCAAGTACTCTTAGTATAATTGATACTCACAAAAACGGAAGCTAAACCATAATAGAAAATGCTTACAGATCCGATAACAATAAGATACACGGGAATATTTGTCTGAATTTGACATTGCCAACGAAAAACAGCTCCGATAACAACTACCACAATTGACAGAATAAAATGGATAAGGTAAATCGAAAGAATGAAGATGACCAGTATTGAGAGTGTACGCAACATTTTACGTAAGTCATCCGAATTCCCAGCCATGATTTTATTAACAAATATCTGAATAAAAACCTCATCAATAAACAATCAAATCTATCTCATGATAAAAGAGATTCAATCGAACTTAACTATGGTATACTCACTGAGCTCCAAAGATCTCTCGTTAGAACTACGTATCTCTGTTACTCCTACACACTGCGTAACGATGAAAAGTTATAAGACTACTTAAGAATTCATTTTGATAAGGATACAGCATTTGTACAGTCGACCTGATGTTGCACTAACTGAAAATGATGCATTCACAACACTTTTTATTTCATCATCTGCTTCACTTTCAGCAAGGCTTTTCTGCCTGTACAATTTTTTCCAACTTACTGTTTCGGCTGAAGAGTTCTTTGGCATTTTTAGTGATACTCAATGGAGCATGTGACCGGCAAATTTTGCTTTCCTCATAAAAAGAAGTACATCTTTCTAACTTTACCGTTTTATTCCTTTCTTTGTGTTTTCGAGTGAATGGATTTTTCTACGAAAAAAAAACGAATTATTAAGCACCATACGTGAGTTTTTTGGGTGTTCGGGTGAGGATGACGATTCCAGCATAAGCTTCAATGACCTAAACGAGGGATACTCATGTGACATATTCAATCAAAGATTCGTTCATATCTTATTTTCTGTTTAGATTCTGTAAACAGCTTTATAGACATTCATCAAAATCGAAAAACTTTTTCATCGATGACAGCAGTGGCTCCTCAACCGTTCACTGAACTCAGTCCACTCTATGTGGCATGTCGGGCAAATAATGTGCACTTAGTGGAACAAATTTTAGCGAATATGTCAATTGAAGAAATCAATCGAATAGAATCGAATGGTTCGACTGCTCTTCATGTTGTTGCTTACAATGGTCATATCGAAATTGTTCGTCTTTTACTTGGCAAAGGAGCGTCTATGATGATTAGAAATAGGTTTGGTTTACTACCAGTACAAGAAGCCCGTACAGATGAAATCAAAAAGTTATTTGAACAACGCGAACAACAAAACAATGAAAATCGTTTCGTTGGAGATACCAATTTCATTGAATGGTTAACAGTTAATGAACGAGCAGCTGAGTATGCCGTATTTTATCGCGATTCATTGAAAGACGCCTATGAAAATGGCATCGATTGTGATCTCCTAGTGTATTATTTAAAGGAGATAGTTGCGAACAATCCGAAAGGGATGCTTGACATTATATATTGTTTTCGTGCGTATTTCGAAAGCAAAGATGCTACACATATTGTGAAAGCTTATACGGTGGAATCTGACTTTTATCGTACATTAAATAAAGATCTGGCGAAAATGATAAGTCACAGAGATAGTATTGAAACAGAAGTTAAGATAAAAGTCAAAATACCTGGAGCAATTGCAGCTGTTCTTAGTTGCGACCCAGCGCTGCAGCAATTGTCTTTTACGGGTGACACGTTTCGAGGTATGTGTGTAACGACGAATGATCTTGATCAATACAAACCTGGTTCGATTATCATGACCAAATCTTTCTTATCTACGTCGAAAAACAAAGAAGTGGCTGAAGGTTTCATCACTAACGAACTCGAACAGGAAGGTCCTGCTAGTAATTCGAAAAAAATTTCGGTCATATGCCGTTATTCTATTCGTAATCGTAACACGGCGTTGGCCATCGAAACACTTTCAATATTCAAAAAAGAAGAAGAAGTTCTTATTCTTCCGATAAACGTTTTCAAAGTTGTTTCCGTGCAAGAGAAGAACGGACGATTCGAAATCAAATTAGTGGAGCAAGAGCGCTTAGCCAGATTATCACTTGGCTCGGAGGACCCGAAGTTTGCAGGCGTATTCGGTATAATATGCCACTTTGCGTTTCCATCTTGTTATCGAAAGTGTTGCATGAGATGCTGTGGAGTTGTCGAAGCTCCTGAATAACCGAATACGTACTTTTGAACTTTATAGACATATAGAAATTCTCACTAAACTTATTTTAATTGTAACAAATATTCACGACAAAATAAAATTGTACAAAAAGAAAACAAAGCATTATTCAGTTCAATTCATTTTGATCAATCATTCGTAGTTTCTCGCATAGCCATCTGCGTAGTTGCATTCGAAGTTTATTTTCAAACTTCCATCGACGAGCATTCTTCGGTTTTTCACCGTAACCTATCCACGCCTGACAACCATACGGAAACGTTCTTTCATGTTGGAAATTCGCAGCTGGCTCTATCCAGAAACCTTCCTGATTAACGATCGTTTGAAAAACTAATTTCGAAACGTTGGTTGCCAATTTCTGTGCTGGACATCGTCGAATATCAAAGCCCCATGACATCAGTGGAGGATGTTTAGGTAAATTCCATCGTTCGCAAGAGAATGCATCAGGTTGTGCCCAACCATTTCGATTTAATTGAACCAACGAAGTAATCCATCCTCGTTGACCTCCATACGGTTGTCGCACCCACAGGTCAGTCAATGGGTACAAGCGAAGTGTTTCGTTCAAAGCATTGTCAAATTGATTTTGAAAATCATCGGCGTGTTCGGAATAGACGAGAAGCATGTGACAGACAAGATCGGTACATTGAACGGAGATTGTCGTAAGAAAATCTTCGGCGACCGATGAAACTTGATGAATCTCTTCCATTTGAAAAAATGCTTCGCAGTTATGAAAAAGAAAATCTTTATCATTGTCTTGAATTAACTTCAGAACTTCATCATAAAAGTTCTGTCGAATCTTGACGTCTGGCGTCGATGTAAATCGTTTAATAATTCTGTTGATATCAAGTAAGCCGGGATAGATTCGATTAAATTCTTCGTTCGTTGGAGGACGGTTAAAAACCAACTGAAACGAATATCTCGAAATCATCTCGAACACATCCCAAAGAATGTTGCCTGGTTTACTTGCTAAACGAAAATCAGGCGAAGTCTGTCCTATTCGTTCAATGATTAGATCATTGCCGAAAGAAAACACATTTCGTCGTTGCTTCCAACTGTTGTCACTGTCCAGAAGAAATGTTGGAAGAAATGGACATAAAGCATTAGTAAATTGATCCAATGGTTTCGAACATTTCGGAAGTTTTGTCAATGTTTCACTATCACAGATTAAATCACGACTCATTAGGTGCACTTTTCCTTTCCGATTTCCAAAGATTTTCCAGATGACCGTTCCCGGTGTCATCAATGTAACAAATGCGCTCAAATATAGCACCAGTGTGTGATAGAACGACTGAACACTACTGAGAACATTCATTGATAACTTCTAAATGAGTAAGATTTCCGTGTGGATCGCTTTGTTATATTGTAAAATTACCTTAAAATACATCGTGTGCTTTTCGAAATGAATGGATGAAATTGAAAGCATGTTTTGAAAAAAGGACAAAGTTTTGTCATTGCTTTTGTATCCATTCATGAGTCTACCGTGAGTCATTGAAAAACGGTTGTCTCATAATGATGAGATTATTTTCTTTAGTATGACAATGCACTGATAATAATACTACACAGAAATAGAATGAAACTTCAGGGCAAAAGGCTTCATCGTCTTTTGAATGGAATATGTAAAACGAATTAGAATGATTCGATTCGATCAAGTTCGAAAGTATAGAAAATAAATTTGTGTTGATTTTATGATTTATAGTGCACGCATGCTTTATTGATAGGTTTTACATGATAATATACGTCTTTTTTTTTCGTTCTTCAAGTACCGTCAGTTGTCTTTACGACAGAATGACGATGCACGTTTTTTGCTCTCTCTCTCTCTCTCTCTCTCTCTTGTTGTTATTTTTCATCAGCATGTTCGTTCCAAATTTCGCGATTATAAAACGTCGAGATTTGCACTTATTTTTAGACAAAATACGAAATGCCGGACCAAGATCAACGACTCGATGTTGGAATTATTGGAGGTGGGTGTAGTGGATTAGTTACGTTAAAGGAATTAGTAGCCGAAGGCCATCGGTGCCGAGTTTTCGAGAAATCCAATGTGCTCGGTGGTTTGTACACTCAAGCATATCAACAAGGAGTCTTTGTTTCAAGTCATTTGTTAACCATGTTCAGTGATTTTGTGGGTAAAGACGTGGATATTCTTGAAAAGCCGCGAATGTTATCATTTATTGAATATGCGCAATATTTAAATGATTATGCTGATCATTTTCAATTGAAAGAATTTATTCAATTCGGAACCGAAGTGAAATCGTTATGGAAGGATTTTTCTGATCAGAAATGGAAAGTTCGTCTAACAAATGATACACAAATTTATTCCTTCGATCGTATTGCGATTTGTTGTGGAGTATTCGGCAACATCAGTCTTCCTACTTTTCAAAATCAAGATTTATTTCAAGGGAAAATCAAACACATGAAACACATTCAGCGCTACGAGGAATTTCAAGATAAACACATATGTATTGTCGGTAGTGGCGAATCTGCCAGTGATATGATCCTAGCTGCAGCACAATTCGGTAAAAAAGCTTATCTATCCATTCGAAAGGATCATGGTTTTATCGTGCCAAGATATATTCATGGAGATCGATTTGGACCAGCTGATTTAGATACGTCGCGAATTCATCATTCCATTCCGAGAGCTTGGGGTGTTTTACACACTACGATCGATATGTTCAACAGTTTGATAAAATCCTACTTGAAATGTCTCTTTTACCAAAAAGGTCGATCGACTGACTATGATATTGTTCGACGTGCAGGAATCTACATGAATTTAAAACAAATTCGAACAAGCAATGTCTGGACAACTTACGGCACGAAAAATTCAAATATCGTCGAAGCGCTGGTGAAATACAAACACAAATGTCAACGAAAACCTGGAATAAAACAATTAAAAGTGCATTCAGTGGTCTTCGAAGACAACACCGAAGAATATGTCGACGAAATCGTTTGTTGTACTGGCTTTAAAACCTCATTTCCATTCATCGAACAGAGCGAAGACGCAGATGATACTTTAAAGCGTTACTTCACCGAAGCGAAAATCTCTCACAACTTGTACAAACATTGTTTCCATCCAGATCTAGGCGATGAAGTTGCCTGGATTGGTTTTGCTCGTCCGGCTCTAGGCGCAATTCCACCATTAATGGAACTTCAAGCGCGTTGGTTTGCTCTACTATGTTCAAAGAAGTTAACTCTGCCAAGCAAAGCTGAAATGAATGAAAAGATTTGTAAATACGTCAAATATCTCGAATGGCAACTGACACCTTATCGTGTGAATCGTTTGACGAATCTGACCGATTATTTGATCTATTCCGATGATTTAGCGCGAACAATTGGATGTCGACCGAACTTTACTCGAATATTTTTCACTGAACCAAAATTATGGATGAAATTAATGTGTGGACCGTTACTAAACGCGCAATATCGCTTGATCGGTCCACATGCGAAACCGAAACAAGCGAAAGAAGTTATCCTGAAAGCAAAATGGGTCAAACAACCGAATATTCTATACTTTTGTATGTTAACTTGCTATGCATTTTTCTATCTCGTCTTTCGAATTGAATCATGTAAACCTGCATCATGGTATCCATTGTAATGAATTCAAGTTTTATTGAAATTCTAACGAAATGTTTGTTTAAAAATATATTACTAATTTTGTTTATTTGTCCTTAAAAAACAAATGAAAGGATTCTTCATCATTGCGAAACTAGGAGAATATTTTTTCAATTTAGTTTTCGAAGTTATATGAGATTTTGACTATAAGGCTTCCTTCACTCTATATTCGCCTTGAAAATATTGCACTGGCATTACAATTTTAGCCGATATATTTTTTGTTGACTGCTGACAAATGGTTGAAAACAATTCGGTTGTATGTAGTATAATCTTTCTATGTTCATGTCGAGTAGGATACTGTTTAGGTAAAACAGATTTCGTATGGCGAGAGACGATCAGTTCAGGTTCGAAGGGTAAGTCGATCTTCTCTTACCATACGTCGAAAAAATCAGCCGAGACGATCATCAATTCGTATGCGAAAAGAGATTCGGTTATCAGATTATCATGAAGATTCCATATGGCCATTTCGTTATTGGAAAAGGAGAACTCTTTCTTTAACTGATCGTTCACGTGGACATGTTAATTCGACCAATTCTCACGACAAAATTGTTACACCATCAGTAGTCCAATATCGAGTCAATTCGAATAGCGATGCATCATCATTTTATGAAAGTGAACGTCGTCTATTTACTTATTATACAATCGAAGGCGAAAACGAAGAAGAAGAAGACGAGAAAAGAAAAAGAAGGTCTTCAAGTTTTGAATCGAAGCATCGTTTTGAACTTTAATTTGGATTTAGACGACGCGTTGGAGCTTTTTTTGTTACGCCATGCTGCTGTTGTCTATGCGCGTGCGGTACACTAGCAGTTGTTCTTCTAATGGCTATCGCAGCAATCCTTGTTTTACTATGTAGGCGATTCATTTTATTCGAGGATTTTGATTTAAAAATCTGTTTTAGTGGCTCAACCGAGAATACGAACGACGACAACAACAAGTAAGTATTTCGGAAAAAAACTCAATTAAAAACTTTTGAGGATTCGACTATTCGTCATTTGAAGGTACGGTAACAACAGCAACGACTACAAGTAACTGCATAATCTATTTTATCTCTATCATCGCCATGTTTTTTCTAAAAGCTACTACATCAACAACATCGACTACAACATCATCATCATCATCATCAACGTCTTCCACGTCGTCATCGTCCTCAACATCTTCCACATCGTCTACAACGACAACAACATCCACATCGTCGTCATCATCAACATCATCAACATCCACTTCTACATCATCATCATCAACGACAACAACGTCTGTAACGACGACGACAACAGCATTTGATTCCTGTCAGTTATTTCTATCTTTTGAGGTTTCTTCTCGTATCATTCATTCTTTCAAGGTATGAATCTTCGTTGGAATAAAACAGGTGCTGTCGTCGCAGGTAGTTCATCGGGCAATGCTGCAAACAAGTTCAATACTCCGGCTTGTATATATATGAATGAAAATGATACGTTTTATGTTTGTGACGCTGGAAATAATCGAATTCAAGAATGGACGGAAAATGCGTCAAGTGGTACAACTAAAGCTGGAAGTAGCAGTGGAACCGCTGGGTCGTCTTCATCGTTACTCAATACTCCAGTGGATGTTTTTTTCGATATACACGGTTATATGTATGTGACCGATACTGAAAATCATCGCATTCAACGTTTTCTTCTGAATTCTTCTCTTGCCACAACTGTAGCAGGAACAGGTTCGAAATCGAGTGCCTTAACAGNGACGGAAAATGCGTCAAGTGGTACAACTAAAGCTGGAAGTAGCAGTGGAACCGCTGGGTCGTCTTCATCGTTACTCAATACTCCAGTGGATGTTTTTTTCGATATACACGGTTATATGTATGTGACCGATACTGAAAATCATCGCATTCAACGTTTTCTTCTGAATTCTTCTCTTGCCACAACTGTAGCAGGAACAGGTTCGAAATCGAGTGCCTTAACAGATCTTGATCATCCTTCAGCCGTTGTCGTTGATGACGACTATCATGTCTATGTTCTTGATAAGCATAATTCTCGAGTCGTATTATGGGGACCGAATGCTACAAGTGGTACTACGGTGATCAGTAATAATGCTCTGAAAAAGACAGCAGCAATGATTTATGTGCCCGGTAGATCCGACCAAGTTTATATTAGCGATGAAGACAGCAACAAGATTTATCGATGGTCGTTCAATATGTCATTGCCGACATCATCACTCTCTCAAGTGAATAGCACTACAAATGCTTTGAATACACCAAAGGGAATGACTACTGATATGTATGGTAATTTATATGTTGCTGATTATGAAAATCATCGAATAGTCATGTACTGTGCTAATTCAACTGTAGGAATTGTTGTTGCTGGTGATACGGGTGGCACACCTACACTAGATAAGCCGATGGATATTGCTTTCGATTCCGATCTCAATATGTATGTTGTCGTCGATGGCGATAATCAAGTTATCAAATTTCCACGTCGATAAAAGACAGGAAAATTCATTTTTCTGCGATTCAATGAATGCTATTGACTGATCATTCATTCGTATATTATGAGATTTCTTCAATATGTAGATCAATACAACTATATATTCTCGTAGTCTGTCCTTCACTCGTATCATAATTCATTTTAATACTAATTTTCTCGTGACAATATGCTTCTGGAGCAGTTTATGCTCAATCATATTTCTTTTTATTGTTTATAACAAGCGAAATCCAATGCCGTCTATTCGATCAACTGTTTTCACGAGTTATAGTCAAGTCATTTCAGATGATGATGTCGCTAATGAGATGCAATCGAATAGATAAATGTACTGATAAAAGGAGGTTGTTTACTTATGTAAGTCATAAGAAGTTCTCTTTTCATCAATTTGAAAATTTATTTCGAGAATGAAATTTACATCGAATCATATTAAAGTCTATCGACTATAATCGATGGCGATGCAGTTGTTGCACGTTGCATTTGAGAATCGAAATACTCCTGACATTCTTCCAATTCAATCCATCGTATCGTTTGAGAGGACAAATCATGTCGAACCGTAATCGGTTCAACTCGTTTTATTCGAAAAACACTGAACGGCATGATTAAGATTTCTCCTTCACTTGTATATTGCGATATATTCTCGATGTTCAGGGCTGTACGGCGATTTTTTATTTCGTAAACACACATGATCCAAATCTTAATAGATGAACCATCGACACGCGTTCGACTGAATTGTTTTGCAGCTTCTTTTTGATATGCGAACAGCTCGGCTATTTTGCGATCGAGAGATGAGGAAAGAAACGATTTTGTCATTAGATATTCATTGACTCGATATTTTCGTAAAGCGATCTCGTTCATTTGTATGATACGATACGAACGACCGATGAATGTAAAGCGGTCAAATATTGGATGATGGCAAAGCAGAGCAATGATATACCGTCGTTCATTTTGATTCATCGTCGCACCACCAGCAATTTCCTTATTTAAAATTTTATAAAAATCTGTTTCAGCGGTATAAGCTTTGATGATCCAAGTGGGATCCAGTTCTTCCATTGCTTTTTGAAAGAAATATTTGATAGTATCGATTCCTTGAATATAATTTAACCGATCTCCAATGTAACTTCTATAGATCTTCTCAAACATTCGGGAAAGCGATACTGCTCCTGAAAAATTCTCATACGTCGATTTAATTATTTGTTTTTCTTGTGCTGCATTCTCAGGAGCATCGTCATCGATCGAATCCCATTCGATTTCTCCCGTGTCCGATGCGAATCGATTCGCACTTGGTACACGAAAGAAAAGACGCCGTATTGCGTCATTTTTTGCTTCATCATACGGTAAACATTGAAAACAATTCAAAATCGATCGGTCAGCGCCTGCATTCAATAACAATTCAACGACTTGACCATATCCATGATAGCATGCCGAGTGTAATGCCGTGCTTCCATTCGGTTCTAAATGATTGATATCCTCTCGTGACATTGTCTGAAGTAATTCTCGAACTTTGTCAACATTGTTCGCTCGGCAGGCCAGATAAAACTCACTACATCGATTCGCTGCTGCTGTCGGTCTACGATAACTCGTCGTTGATGTTATGACCATGTTGGTAAGAGTTGAAATCTCACTATCTCTTGCTGATACGCCACTCAGAGTGTTGAGTGATGGCGCTGCTGATAAATCGAAGACGCCTGAGCGATTTTCCAGTTTCGGAGTTTCATCGAGGGCAAGTGTTTCGGGATGATTTGCTCGAGAACGAGCTTCGGTATTTTGCCGTTCACGACGGCGAAATACGTAGTTTTTTAAACTATCTAGTATCTGTCCCATAACAAATGAAAAAACATCAAATGTATCGTATAGTCGACTGTAATTAAGGAAGAAGTTTCTACCTACACGTTGCGTCTGTACAGAACAGACAAAAAATATCGCACATTTCTCGTCAGATGCATCGAGAAAGTGCATTCACCGTAACAGCGTAAACAACGAGCAAATATGATCTAATATACAGTGCAAAAAATCCTAGTACCTCTTTTTATCGAAATGAATGTTTAAATCGACAATAAGCGATAGAAAATTATGTTTTTTTAATTTCCTTGATATCAAGAAGAGTTTGATTGACATTTTTATTGATATTTTTCAACGAAAGGATGCATTTTAATATGAAAAAAAAACAGGAAATTAAAAAAGAGTGCACTGTCTATGTAGAGACTTCTTTTTTTCATCATTTTGAGCAGTTTCATTTACCCAAAAATGTCTTCGCGAGCAGTTTATTTCTTGGCTCTGTTCATGCTTATTAATTCATCCATTGGAATTAACATTCAATCAATGTTTATGACTTCAATCGTCGGCTCGAAATTTTATTGTGCTCAGTCAACGTGCACTCCATTTGCAAATACTACCGAAAGAGATATTTTTCAGTGTGAAATAGCATGCTTATTTGAAGTTCGATGTAAAGCACTGACCTTTCATCAATCGACCTTGAATTGCGAAATATTCGGTAATGTAGCCAATCTAACTGCAAACATGATAGCTGACTCGAATGTTACCACTATGATTATGATAGACGGAACACGATTTCCAAACAGTGAGTGACATCTTCTAAGATTGCATCGCTAATTTTCATTTTAGTATGGACTACAACAAGTGGCATGAATCAACCACGATTGTATCATGCGGCATGCACTCTAACAAATGGTCAAGTACTAGTGACGGGTGGATATAATAGTAGTGTCTATACGAATAGTGCAGAATTGTACGATTCGTTAACGAACATGTGGAAGTGGACAGGAAATATGACCAATGCTCGACAAAAACATGCCGCTATTTTATTGGCGAATGGAAAAGTCTTGGTTAGTGGTGGATCGAATGTTGGTACCTATTTAACTACTTCAGAATTGTATGATTCTTCTACGGGCGTTTGGACAGCTACAGGAAATATGATTTGGCGACGACAGTATCATTTGATGACTCTCTTGAGAAGTGGAAAGGTGTTAGTAACTGGTGGTTCGAACGGTACTATTAATTTGGATACTGCTGAGTTGTATGACGTGTTCACAGGCCTCTGGATCGCAACAACATCTATGAGTGGTCCCAGATTGTTTCATACCGCATCCATATTGCCAAGTGGAGATGTTTTAATCGCTGGCGGAACTATGAGTGGTGCTGTCACGAGTAGCTCTGAGATATACAATTCAACGACAGGTCTTTGGACAGCAGCGGGAAATATGATTAAAAAACGACAATATCATACGATGTCGCTGCTAGCAAACGGAAAGATACTAGTTGCTGGTGGATTTGATGGTACTACACGACTAAACACTGCTGAATTATATGATTCAGCAACAAATCTTTGGACAGCAACCGGAAATATGAGTAGTGCCCGACAACAGCATGCAGCGATTATGTTAGCAAATGGCAACGTTCTAGTTGCTGGTGGATATGATGGGACTAATTATTTAAATACAGCTGATTTATATGATCCATCGACTGACACTTGGACGAGCACAACTNGCAACAAATCTTTGGACAGCAACCGGAAATATGAGTAGTGCCCGACAACAGCATGCAGCGATTGTGTTAGCAAATGGCAACGTTCTAGTTGCTGGTGGATATGATGGGACTAATTATTTAAATACAGCTGATTTATATGATCCATCGACTGACACTTGGACGAGCACAACTCAGTTGAATGTCCAACGACGTCAACATACTGTATCTATGTTGGGTAATGGGAAAGCATTAGTTGTTGGCGGTACTAATACTGATAATTCGCCACTTGGTGCAGAATATTACTAACTCGACTGCACTTAGATACTCATCGATGCTTTTTTTGTTCGTGCCTATGATTTCGTTGGTTTTCAGATAATCCTTTTTTCATTTAATCATCTCATGTAAACAAATTGTGTCGTTCACATATCGCCTATTCTCTTATTACGTGATGCGAAACTTGTATATATGCTCATGAATTAATAGCTTTTTGCTTATCGAATTTCATCTATTGAGCGCGTACAAAATGGTTCATCGAATCGAATGAAATATTTCCATTCCCCATACGTAATAGCAAGACATTTATGATTTACTTCCTTTCCAAAAAAAAATGACTTTTTTCTCGTTTTAATAGAAGTATTCATTCATTCTATATCTCTTTGCTGCGCATTACTTGACAGAATTCCTTGAGGTGATACTAATTTACACTGGAAAAAAGTCTCTCTATCGTTTTACGCCATATGCGACACATCTTTCATCATGTAAACATTTATTCTATGTTCAGTTCGTTGGTTATATGATTGAATATACGACTATAATCTTTTCATTCCTGATGAAACTGAATATGATGATGACATGCAAGATCACGACATTGTTATCAAACACTAAAAGTATGCCATTCGATTATACGTTCCTCTTTTTATCGATAAGTCAATAACGCTGTGTATTGAAACTTTTCAGAGATGTACAATCTTCACCGTCACTTTGAGAAACTCTTGTTCTCTATATACTTTAGTGACCATTTATACGTTCTTTTCTTTATTGCTTTGAACAATTCTCAGAGCCATACAATAACTATTTCAAATATAACTCCATCAGTATTCAACGAACTGCATGTTAATTATGGTGACGCACATTTCGGGGCCATGTCAGAATACAACTTTGCGATATAAAAGATTTGTTTCAAGTCAAATTTCATGTCATCCAATATGTTTTAGTATTTTCGTTGATAAATAGTGGATCGAGTCACTTTATTACATTCCATACGCAAGTACATATCTCGCCACGAATTTTTGAGCAACAGCTTTTTCTTAAGTAGAATAAAGTTTTATTTTCAATCTGTTCAAAATAATACTTTCTATATTTTGAAGTTTGAACTGCTCATAGCGCTTTGTTCATTATGTAAATAGACAGTTTCACAAATTACAGAAGAACTTAATAGCATCTTACAAGAAAATGAAATTAAAACACTTATTAATAAACATATTCTAGTTGCTCGAACAAATACTTTCATCAATCCACTTTTTACACATTATCGCGCGATCGAACTTTTTAATTTCAACTTTTAATACAAATGCTGTAGTGTATATAACTTACACCGGAAATATCTAGTATACTCGCATATATTCGACAGTAAATATTAGTTACAATGGATCGGGAATAACTGATGAAAGGGGTTTATCTTGTATTTTAAAAGATGCAGTAGCGCCTTCTGCTTTCTATATCGTATGAAATTATGAAAGTGCATATAATCATGAGCCCGTGGCCTGTTGAAGTACTGATTATCAAAGTAAACATTTCTGGCAATTCGATCGTCTTTATAATGTCAGTTGCCTTGAAAGTCTTGTTAACTCTATCAAGATTATGTAAATTACTCATATGAAGTTTCTAAACATGGTCTTCAAGAATATAGGTTGAACGCAAAGTAGTATATGGCTGTTTGTTATACGAAATGAAAGGCCATTAAACATGGGATTCAAGAGTACAACTATCTATTCATAGAACGATAAGAGCCTATAGAATCATGGGAATTGTAACAAATTTTTGGAGTGTTGCTATAGCGTACTTTTATGGATGACCAAATATAAAAACAAAAGCTTTTAAAAAAGTATCTTTGTCTATCGCATTTTGTTGTTTCCATTAAAGCATAGCTATTTATTTGGCAAATTTTGAATATATTTCTATGAAAGTATGCACTACAGGTAGCTCACGTCGCTTCGAAAGGGATATGCTTTAACAGCTCTTTCCGACGAGGATTATACTGTGATGATATATCAATGTTGATGGTATAGAAAAAAAAACTTCTCAATTAAATTCTATCGTTTATACTCCGACTGAAATATGCATCGTAATACTTTCTTTTTATCTCCTTCTGTGCATTGTCACTACTTACACACATGTGTCGATTCTCTTTTTTTCTCGTTCTGTATAAAATGACTTGCATTTCTTTCAAGGCATTCTCAGCTCGAGATCGAACGAATGCAAAGTAATTTTTGGCTACGTACAATCAAATTATTTGTAGAGGAAAACTTTATTTAGATAGGCAATTGTTTATCGTGTTATGTGGTGCATCGACATTAGCTGGTGTTGTGGTTCTATATAAATATTTTCGAGGAAAAAGCAAAAGGCAAAAAGATGACGCACAAGTTTGTTTCATGCTTATATTGATTGACTGAGTTACTAAGTTTTGATTTTAAATAGAAGAATCAGTATTTGAAATGTCGCTCATTATCTGATTTTGAAAATTTAGCAAAGCAGCGACTAAAATCCCATCGGTTTCATTATTATAATTATAAAGCTGGTCAAGGTCATACGTATCAAGCTTGTCGAACATATTTCGACAAACAATTACGAATTATTCCAAGAGTTCTAATTAACGTCGAAGAAATATCGCTGAAGACAACTATATTCGGGTAAAACATCATATAACCAATTGAAAACTCACGATTTCTTTTCTGTCCGCTTAGAAAGACCTATGAGTCGCCCATCACCGTTGCTCCGACAACATTTCATTGTCTCGCAAATAGAGACGGCGAAGTTGGCACAGCTCGTGGTGCAACAGAAGCACAATGTATTTATACATACAATTGGATGTATTCAACTAAACCTGAACATGAAGTTTTACAAACAACCGGTCCGAAATTTTTACATGTCTATCTGACAACGCCAACGAAAATTTTGGAGAAAATCGTTAATGAAGCTGAAGAAAAAGGTTATCGAGCTATTGTTGTCACATGTGATCATCCAACGGATCGAGTTCGAGATGATGTCTTACCTTTGTTTGAGGAAGCATCGAAAACAATCGATCGAGAGTTAACAGAATGTATGCCAATGCCAAACATGAATGCAAAAGACATTATCGAAAAACAAAATTTTAGTACGGGTTCAATCACATGGGCAAATGTCGAATCATTGAAACAGTTGACTAAATTACCAATTATATGCAAAGGAATATTATCACCCATTGATGCAGAATTAGCAATCAAACATGGAGCAAATGGAATCGTTGTGAGGTTCGATTATTTATCCCTGATATTGTATGACTTCTAGAAGCTTGTTCTTTTCATTTTCAGTAATCATGGTGGAAGACAAGTTGATACAGCGCCAGCAGCGATCGAATGTCTAGAAGATATTGTGAAAGTAGTCGATGGACGAGCTGAAGGTAATTGATTTGAGTGATCATTTTGCAATGCATTTAGCCATTCTTCTGTAGTTTTCGTTGATACGGGTATTCGAAGTGGAACCGATGTCTTAAAAGCATTGGCGTTAGGTGCACGTGGTGTACTTGTCGGTCGACCAATTTTATACGGATTAACTTGCGGAGGACATGATGGAGTAAAGAGAGTGTTAGAAACACTGAAACGTGAATTAATGTATGATATGGCTTGTTGTGGATTAACATCTATTGATCAAATCGACGCAAATATTCTTTATCAACACATATAACGAATATTTATCTGAGTGTCTCTCGAAAATCATACAAAGAAACGCGATTCCATTTAGTTTAGTTTTACATTTATTCCAAAAGAGGAAAAAATTGAGAAAAGTTCTCAGAACGAACACAACATTCATTAATACTCAATGATTTGATCTGTGCACAATTGAATTGATTTGAATCACTCGTAAAATTGTTTGTCAATAACATTAATTGTTCATAGTAAATATGAAGTTTACAAAAACATGGTAAATGTGTATACCGATTACATAATAATTGTTGGATATAAGTAATATGTGTCAAACGGACATCAAGATCAATTAATCGATTGAATGTCACAATTGGATATTCTTCGAAAATTTTCTTTGCCGATGTATTACATATCAGTTGTAAAGGTACTAGATAATCTTAGAAAGACTTTAAATTGATATGGAATGAAATATACATGACATCGATAGATGGTATTTGCTCTTCAATTGCGAAAGATGGTTTCCATCGACAACGGTAGATGCATCTCGTTTTGCAACAGATACAGATAAGTGAAGTTCTTCTAAATTTAACATTCGTTGTCGAAATGGTACAAGAAGATCATCATAGACATAAGTCTGTTTATATCAAGTTAATGAAAAAGATTTCAGTTGAGAGAAGTTGTCCTATTCGAACAATGGATGATTATCATTCGATGTTTGAAGATAAGGAATACACGACTTACTCGATTATCGATCGATGGTAAGTTTGAAGAGATTACGTCAATATAAACTATATAATGAGATAAGGATGGAAACCGGCCATCGAGAAGAAAAAGATAGTCGTCAAATGTTTTTAATTCGATATTCAATTTTGTCAATGTTGAAGAATTTATTGACGAAAATTTAGAGATGGAAATATCTCGATCTGAAATCTGACTGGATTGATGAAAAGTTAATTCTAATAAAGGTTTTTGATTGTGATATAATCAATTCGAATAAACATATAAATGTGTCATTTTTTCAAGCAACACTTTCAATCGATTAGGATTTTCTAAAGAAAAGAACAAATTCCAAAATCAAGATCAATACAAATGATTTCCTTACTTATAAGATGTTCAATAAGTATTTTTGTCGAGAAATTCATTAATGATAAAGATGACACATTTGGAAAATCGACAGCATGAAGGACACGTGCAACTGCACTCTGTTCAACAATAAGTTTCCTTACTTTATCATGAATATGAGGCAAAATTTGTTCACAAACTCGATCGATTGTTAAATCGTTCATTGGAGAAATAGAATTATCCCATGATTTGATTGTAAAATCAAGTTCATCAACATAGAGATGATCGAATAATAATCGCGGTCAAGACGATCATGAATGTCACTTTGTCGATAAACTGGTCCAATAAGCTCACGATTTGCTTGATAAATTGTGTTAAGGATCGAAACAGACAGACTAAGGGGTCAATCGCACCAAAAAATAATGTTGAATCAAGAAACATGATTGGCCCTTTTACATAGCAACGTGAATTGTATTGGTTAACTTCATGTTAAATTTCTGGCTGTCCGATCCCTTAAAATAAACATACATTCCATTGATAAAAATTATTGAGGAATGCATGCTGTTGAAGAATGAGACGTTTTGATCTATTTTAACTCACAATAATCTATCATATCTCCCTTTGTGTTACAGGCATATTACTGAAATGTTTTCACGTATTCGTTAAGTACTCCTGTACTTGCTCGTCTCGGTATTTCATTGGCATTTCTTTCTCTCGTTTTGTGATTACAGTATTCATGTTCGATTCAGTTTTGGATCGAGATTGAAACAAAGAGAGTCGAATAAAAGATCTCTAATACTTTTCTCTCTTGACATATGATCATGAAGATTTTATGTAATCGTTTTCAGTTGAAAACAATAAATTGATGAAAGGACCAATCGTCAACTACGAAAAATTTGATCCTCAATTATTTAATTACTGATTTAACGATCGTAATTATTGGTGGATAGTCTGTTTTATTTACAGAACTATTTATTAAAATTTCAGTTGTCATCAAATCATAAAACATTGAAAAGACATTTTCTCCATGGAATCAATCCTCAGCAAGCTTTTTTTTCAGGTTTTCATACTCAACTGAAGAGGGGAAGAGAGAGAGACGTACAGAATGCAGCCTTTCCAAATAAAACTGATAAAATAATTCAAATAATTATTGAAACTGAAAGATCCAGTATTTCTTCTCGTCTATAAAAGAATAGAAAGAGAGAACCGCTCACATTTCTCAAATACATTTGGTTAGAAAAACCAAAATATATCTATAAACGCAGTTTTTAACTTTGTATTTCTGTACAAACATTTGTTGCATATACATCGAGAATCAAACAAACGGAATGGCTGATGAGGTGATGTAATATTTTAGAGATATTCAAACTCATTATGTCTTTTTTCTGGATCATATAGGATGTGCGAAAGTGTGTGCTCAATGAATTAAATCAAGCAACGAAAACAGAAAATGCTAAAACCAAATATGAGGATAGTGTGAAACAAAACGCACCATCTAATGTACAAAAAGATTTGCACGATAACAAGGTCTGGGAAGAAACAAAATCTCATGCGCTGGCTCATGCAACAAACGAAGCAGCTGCAACAGCTAATGCTGCGAAGGCCCAAACGCAAAATACATGTAAATATTCGAAGAAACAGTAACTTGATGATTTTTTTCTTTGTCGTCATGAATAGAGAACCTCATAATTAATATTCTTTTTTTCCGAGTTTCTTTCTTTTTAAGTTGTCTTTTGGTTTTTATCATATTCTATTCAGTGTCTTATTTTATCATTATTTGGAATAATGCGTCGTTTTTCTAACATGTAGTTGTGAAGAGGAAAAAAATTTGAATAATTATCTTACTCAATATAGTGCATAAAAAATAGAAAATGTAATATTTTATCTTTCATCAAAATAAAAGAATCCTATTTGAGTTGATTGTCCTAATTAATTATCAAACTCAGATAACTACCATGAATATTATTTACTGATTGTTCTAATCGTTTTGCTTTTATTTTGACGAATCTCAACTCAATTCGGATTGTTGATTATCGGACATAATAAATACGAAAAGATCTCACTTTTAAAGTAAATATTTGTTCCTGAAAACACCACAAAACTAAATAACAATAAAGCCAAAAGATAATCACTTTTTTCTACTTTTGACTATTCTACTACGATCATCTTAATTGATAATGTATTCTTGTCTTCTTTTAACACTGCCGTTACCATGAACAACACAACGCGAAATAAATTAAGAAAAAGGATTTATAAGCAGCTAATCTTTCTGTAGTCTCCAATACGAACACGAACACGAACACAATCGTTGATGTACTAATCGATCAGTGACGTGTCTATTTAAAAAAATTGTGTATATTCTATGTTGATAATTCCTATTTGTTACATACATAGATTATTGACGATTTTATGATGAATTTATAGAAGTGTAGTTTTCATGTTTCTGATTAGAAAACTAATTCTTGAATTACAAATGAAGAATCAGCATTTACAGTATGAAAAAAAAAACAACAAGACTCTCATTTACATATCATATTCTTAGACCGTATACAACTTTCGTTAGTACTGAAAAACGTACCAAAATGCAAGTAATGCTGACATGGTGTTGCGTGAGTACTCATTTGAATTTCCGCTAACGATCAACATTTATGTTATTCTCGAATGAATTGTAACAAACAATCCCATCCTCAAAATGTCTCTCAATTTAAACACGTTCAAGATCGTTTGCATTCTGCCCAAATGAATGGCCATCGGACCTTAACGGATTTTAGACCTTAGTTACGGTTTGACTGCTTTACGAAGGATAGAAAGGATCTTTGAGAATAGATTTCTATAAAACACTATATTTGCGGGGGCACGATAATAAGACAAGAGTATCTCAAACTCATTATCACAATAGTGAACGTCGTTCAAGCCGTGAGCTAGTCTTCAGAATAAGTGTTACCAAAGTCGAATACTTTGTCAGATAGAGTTACGTATATGTGAGAGTAACGTTTTCCACTCGTTAATGATGACCATTTATTTGTGCTCCTACAGGGAAGAAAGGAATAATGGATAAGTATCAGAATCAGAAGAAATAAATAATCTTGTTCCAGTGATTTCATCCGTTTCACAATATTCCACAACCGAAGATAAATATAACAATATTATAACTTACGTGCGTGTCATATTATTCTTACCTTGAGTTTCCTATATCTATAAATAATTAGTCATAATCATCATGTGTTCCTCAAAAGCCGAAAAAAGAATATTGCACTGAAGGATGAAGAAAAAACAACCCACGCATGACTCACTTATTCAATAAAATACACAATAAATATAAATATGTTCTGTGTATTGCATTCATTTTTATCTATCGTCAGTTATATTTCTAATTGCGTCATAAAGGTAAAGCGTATTTTAATTAGAATATCTGAATATACGAGCTAGAAAAAACTCAAATATTTCACTTCTCATCTTCGCATGTAGTTTTCAAGAAAAATAATCATACTCTCTTCACATTTCCCTTTGTATTCTTTAGGGATGAGTACTCCTTTGATAAAACCAAAAAAAATTATGAACAATGGCGAGACAAACAGCTATTTGCCCTACGTCATCGACATGACACAGCTAAACACAGATGCAACAGATACTAACCATAAAACACAAGTCGAAACTGGCGTCTCACATAGTCGTCGAATCGTAGATTCCACTGTCGAAGCATCAAAACCCACTTTCAACAACGAATCTTCAACACAAGACGAGCCTATCATCGGTTACGCACAAGAACAACTTCTACCGCTCATCAACGCATGCGAGCCACTCTCTCATATCATTCCTAACANGACGGAAAATGCGTCAAGTGGTACAACTAAAGCTGGAAGTAGCAGTGGAACCACTGGGTCGTCTTCATCATTACTCGATACTCCAGTAGATGTTTTTTTCGATATACACGGTTATATGTATGTGACCGATACTGAAAATCATCGCATTCAACGTTTTCTTCTGAATTCTTCTCTTGCCACAACTGTAGCAGGAACAGGTTCGAAATCGAGTGCCTTAACAGGTCTTGATCATCCTTCAGCCGTTGTCGTTGACGACGACTATCATGTGTATGTTCTTGATAAACATAATGCTCGAGTCGTATTATGGGGACCGAATGCTACAAGTGGTACTACGGTGATCAGTAATAATGCTCTGAAGAAGACAGCAGCAATGATTTATGTACCCGGTAGCTCCGATCAAGTTTATATTAGCGATGAAGACAGCAACAAGATTTATCGATGGTCATTCAATATGTCATTGCCGACATCATCACTTTCGCAAGTGAATAGCACTACAAATGCTTTGAATACACCAAAAGGAATGACTACTGATATGTATGGTAATTTATATGTTGCTGATTATGAAAATCATCGAATAGTCATGTACTGTGCTAATTCAACTGTAGGAATTGTTGTTGCTGGTGATACGGGTGGCTCACCTACACTAGATAAGCCGATGGATATTGCTTTCGATTCCGATCTCAATATGTATGTTGTCGTCGATGGCGACAATCAAGTTATCAAATTTCCACGTCGATAAAAGACAGCAAAATTCATTTTTCTGCGATTCAATGAATGCTATTGACTGATCATTCATTCGTATATTATGAGATTTCTTGAGTATGTGGATCAATACACCTATATATTCTCGTATCACAAGCCATTTTAATACTAATATAGTCAAGTCATTTCAGATGACGATGTCGCCAGTGAGATGCAATCGAATAGATAAATGTACTGATAAAAGGAGGTTGTTTACTTATGTAAGTCATAAGAAGTTCTCTTTTCATCGCTTTGAAAGTTTATTTCGAAAATGAAGTTTACATCAAATTATATTAAAGTCTATCGATTACAATCGATGACGATGCAGTTGTTGCACGTTGCACTTGACGATCGAAACACTCCTGACATTCTTCCAATTCAATCCATCGTATCGTCTGAGAGGATAAATCATGTCGAACCGTTATCGGTTCAACTCGTTTTATTCGGAAAACACTGAACGGCATGATTAAGATTTCTCCTTCGCTCGTATATTGCGATATATTCTCGACGTTTAGAGCTGTACGGCGATTTTTTATCTCATAAACACACATGATCCAAATCTTAATGGATGAACCATCGATACGCGTTCGACCGAATTGTTTTGCTGCTTCTTTTTGATATACGAACAGCTCGGCTATTTTGCGATCTACAGATGAGGAAAGAAACGATTTCGTCATTAGATATTCATTGACTCGATATTTTCGTGAAGCGATCTCATTCATTTGTATGACACGATACGAACGACCGATGAATGTAAAGTGATCAAATATTGGATGATGGCAAAGCAGAGCAATGATATACCGTCGTTCATTTTGATTCGTCGTCGCACCACCAGCAATTTCCTTATTTAAAATTTTATAAAAATCTGTTTCGGCGGTGTACGCTTTGATGATCCAAATGGGATCTTGTTCTTCCATCGCTTTTTGAAAGAAATGTTTGATAGTCTCAATTCCTTGAATGTAATTTAACCGATCTCCAATGTAATTTCTATAGATTTTCTCAAACATTCGCCAAAGCGATCCTGCTCCTGAAAAATTCTCGTACGTCGATTTAATGATTTGTTTTTCTTGTGCTGCATCCTCAGGAGCATCGTCATTGATCGAATCCCATTCGATTTCTCCCGTGTCCGATGCAAACCGATTCGCACTTGGTACACGAAAGAAAAGACGCCGTATAGTGTCATTTTTTGCTTCATCATATGGTAAACATTGAAAACAATTCAAAATCGATCGATCAGCACCTGCATTCAATAACAATTCAACGATTTGTTCATATCCATGATAGCATGCCGAGTGTAATGCTGTACTTCCATTCGGCTCTAAATGATTGATATTCTCTCGTGACATTGTCTGAAGTAATTGGCGAACTTTGTCAACATCGTTCGTTCGGCAGGCCAGATAAAACTCACTGCATCGATTCGCTGCTGCTGTTGGTCTACGATAACTCGTCGCTGATGTTAAGACCATGTTGACAAGCGATGAAACATCACTATCTCTTGGTGATACGCCATTCATAGTGTCGAGTGATGGCGCTGACGATAAATCGAAGACGCCTGAGCGATTTTCCAATCTCGGAGTTTCATCGAGGGCAAGTGTTTCGGGATGATTTGCTCGAGAACGAGCTTCGGTATTTTGCCGTTCACGACGACGATATGCGTAGTTTTTTAAACCATCTAGTATCTGTCCCATAACAAATGAAAAAACATCAAACGTAACGTACAGTCGACTATAATTAAGGAAGAAGTTTCTACCTACACATTGCATCTGTACAGAACCGACAAAAAAAGCGCACATTTTTCGTCAGACGCATCGAGAAAGTGCATTCACCGTAACAGCATAAACAACGAGCAAATATGTTCTAATATACAGTGCAAAAAAATCATAGTACCTCTTTTTATCGAAAAGAATGCTTAAATCGCCACCAAGCGATATAAAATTATGTTTTTTAATTTCCTTGTTATCAGGAAGAACGTGATTGACACTTTTATTGATATTTTTCAACGAAAGGATGCATTTTAATAAGAGGAGAAAAGGCAGGAAATTAGAAAAGAGTGCACTGTCTATGTAAAGACTTCGTTTTTTCATCATTTTGAGCAGTTTCATTCACTTGAAAATGTCTTCACGAGCAGTTTATTTCTTGGCTCTGTTCATGCTTATTAATTCATCCATTGGAAGTAGCATTCAATCAATGTTTATGACTTCAATCGTCGGCTTGAAATTTTCTTGTGCTCAATCAACGTGCACTCCATTTGCAAATACTACCGAAAGAGATATTTTCCAGTGTGAAATAGCATGTTTATTTGAAGTTCGATGTAAAGCATTGACCTTTCATCAATCGACCTTGAATTGTGAAATATTCGGTAATGTAACCAATCAAACTGCAAACATGCTAGCTGACTCGGATGTTACCACTATGATTATGATAGACGGAACACGATTTCCAAATAGTGAGTGACATCTTCTAAGTTTGCATCGCTAATTCTCATTTTAGTATGGACTACAACAAGTGACATGAATCAACCACGATTGTATCATGCGGCATGTACTCTCATAAATGGTCAAGTATTAGTGACGGGTGGATACAATAATAGTGCCTATACGAATAGTGCAGAATTGTACGATTCGTTAACGAACATGTGGAAATGGACAGGAAATATGACCAATGCTCGGCAAAAACATGCCGCTATTTTATTGACGAATGGAAAAGTCTTAGTTAGTGGTGGATCGAATCTTGGTACCTATTTAGCCACTTCAGAGTTGTATGATTCTTCTACGGGCGTTTGGACAGCAACAGGAAGTATGATTGGGCGACGGCAGTATCATTTGATGACTCTCTTGAGAAGTGGGAAAGTGTTAGTGACTGGTGGGTCGAACGGTACTAGTAATTTGAATACTGCTGAGTTGTATAACGTTTCCACAGGTCTCTGGATCGCAACAGCATCTATGAGTGGTCCGAGATTGTTTCATACCGCATCCATATTACCAAGTGGAGATGTTTTAATCGCTGGCGGAATTATGAATGGTGGTACTACGAGTAGCTCTGAGATATACAATTCAACGACAGGTCTTTGGTCAGCAACAGGAAATATGATTCAAAAACGACAATATCATACGATGTCGCTGCTAGCAAACGGAAAGATTCTAGTTGCTGGTGGATATGATAGTACGACACGACTAAACACTGCTGAATTATATGATTCAGCAACAAATCTTTGGACAGCAACCGGAAATATGAGTAGTGCCCGACAACAGCATGCAGCGATTGTGTTAGCAAATGGCAACGTTCTAGTTGCTGGTGGATATGATGGGACTAATTATTTAAATACAGCTGATTTATATGATCCATCGACTGACACTTGGACGAGCACAACTCAGTTGAATGTCCAACGACGTCAACATACTGTATCTATGTTAGGTAATGGGAAAGTATTAGTTGTTGGCGGTACTAATAGTGGTAATTCGCCACTTGGTGCTGAATATTACTAACTCGACTGCACTTAGATAATCATCGCTGTTTTTTGTTTGTTCGTGTGTATGATTTCGTTGGTTTTCAGATAATCCTTTTTTCATTTAATCATCTCATATAAACAATTTATCCCGTTTACATATAGTCTGTTCGCTTATTACGTGATGCAATACTTGTATATATGCTCATGAATTAATAGCTTTCTGCTTATCGAATTTCATCTATTGACCGCGTACAAAACGGTTCATCGAGTCAAATGAAATATTTCTATTTCCAATATGTAAAAGCAACACATTTATGATTTACTTCCTCTTCAAAAAATGACTTTTTTCTCGTTTTAACATAAGTATTCATTCATTCTATATCTCTTTACTGCGCATTACTTGACAGAATTCATTTCTCATTAGTAATTGAATTTCTTGAGTTGATACTACATTACATTGAAAAAGGTCTCTCTCTATCGCTTTACGCCATTTGCGACACATCTTTCATCACGTAAACATTTACTTTATGTTCAGTTCGTTGGTTATATGATCGATTACACGACTATAATCTTTTCATTGCGGATGAAAATGAATATGATGATGACATGCAAGATCACGACATTACTATCAAACACTAAAAGTATGCCATTCGATTATACGTTCCTCTTTTTATCGATAAGTCAATAACGCTGTGTGTTGAAACTTTTCAGAGATGTACAATCTTCACCGTCACTGTACGAAACTCTTGTTCTCTATATACTTCAGTGGCCATTTATACGTTCTTTTCTTTATTGCTTTGAACAATTCTCAGAGTCAAACAATAGCTATTTCAAATATAACTCTATCAGTATTCAATGAACTGCATGTTAATTATGGTGACACACCTTTCGTGTCCATGTCAGAATACAACTTCGGGACATGAAAGATTTGTTTTAAGTCAAATTTCATATTATACAATATGTGTAAGCATTTTCGTTGATAAAACAGTGAATCGAGTGACTTTACATTCCATACGCAAATATATATCTTATCACGGATTTTCGAATAACAGCTTTTTCTCAAGTAGAATAAAGTTTGATTTTCATTCTGTTCAAAATAATACTTCCTATATTTCGAAGTTTCAGCTGCTCGCAACGCTTTGTTGATTATGTAAACATACAGTTTTGCAAATAATAGAAGGATTAAATAACAATCAACTTGTTACTATTGAAATCTTGCAAGAAAATGAAATTAAATCACTTATTAATGAACATATTATAGTTGCTTGAACAAATACTTTCATCAGTCAACTTTTTAATTTCAACTCTCAATACAAATGCTGTAGCGTATATAACTTACACAGGAAATACCTATTATAGTCGCATATATTCGACAGTATATATTAGTTATAATGGACCGGGAATAACTGATGAGAGGGGTTTATCTTGTATTTTAAAAGATGTAGCAACGGCTTCTGCTTTTTATATCGTATCAAATTATAAAAGTCCGTAGAATTCTGAGTCGTGGCCTGTTGAAGTACTGATTATCAAATTAAACATTTCTGGGCAGGTAGATGGATTTGTCAGCGGATGTTTTGCACTTGATGCTCTACTTCGAAGTACATTCGACTGTCTTTATAACGCCAGTTGCCTTGAAAATCTTGTTAACCCGTTCAAGGGGATGCACTTATATGAAGTTTCTAAACATATTTTTCAAGAATATAGGTTGAACGCAAAGCAGTATATGGTTATACCAAATGAAAATCCATTAAAAATGGCATTCACGAGTATAACTAACTATTTATAGGACGATAAGAGCCTATAAAATCATGGAAATTTTAACAAATTTTTAGGAGTATTACTAACGAACTTCTATGGATGGCGAAATATAAAAACAAGTTTTTTTTTAAAAGTGTCTTTGTTTATCATATTTTGTTGTTTTCATTAAAGCATAGCTATTTATCTGACAAACTTTGAATATATTTTTATGAAAGTATGCACCACAGGTAGCTCACGTCGCTTCGAAATGGATATGTTTTAACAGCTCTTTCCGACAAGGATTATGGTGTGATGATATATCAATGTTGATAGTATAGAAAAAAAACAACTTTTCGATTAGATTCTATCGTTACTTCGACAGAAATATGCATTGTAATACTTTCTCTTTATCTCCTTCTGTGCACTGTCATTACTTACACACATGTGTCGATTCTCTTTTTTCTCGTTCTATATAAAATGATCCTCACTTCTTTCAAGACATTCTCAGCTCGAGATCGAACGAATGCAAAGTAATTTTTTGGCTATGTACAATCAAACTATTAGTAGATGAAAACTTTATTTAGATAGACAATTATTTGTTGTGTTATGCGGTGCATCGACATTAGCTGGTGTTGTGATTCTATATAAATATTTTCGAGAAAAAAGCAAAAAGCAAAAAGATGACGAACAAGTTTGTTTCATGCTTATATTGAATAACTGAGTTACTAAATTTTGATTTTAAATAGAAGAATCAGTATTTGAAATGTCGCTCATTATCTGATTTTGAAAATTTAGCAAAACAACGACTAAAATCTCATCGTTTCCATTATTATGATTATAAAGCTGGTCAAGGACATACGTATCAAGCTTGTCGAACATATTTCGACAAACAATTACGAATTATTCCAAGAGTTTTAATCAACGTCGAAGAAATATCGCTGAAGACAACTATATTCGGGTAAAACATCATATAACCAATTGAAAACTCACGATTTCTTTTCTCTCCACTTAGAAAGACCTATGAGTCACCCATCATTATTGCTCCGACAACATTTCATTGTCTCGCAAATAGAGACGGTGAAGTTGGCACAGCTCGTGGTGCAACAGAAGCACAATGCATTTATACATACAATTGGATGTATTCAACTAAACCTGAATATGAAGTTTTACAAACAACCGGTCCAAAATTTTTACATGTTTATCTGACAACCCCAACGAAAATTTTGGAGAAAATCGTTACTGAAGCTGAAGAAAAAGGTTATCGAGCTATTGTTGTCACATGTGATCATCCAACGGATCGAGTTCGAGATGATGTCTTACCTTTGTTTGAGGAAGCATCGAAAACAATCGATCGAGAGTTAACAGAATGTATGCCAATGCCAAACATGAATGCAAAAGACATTATCGAAAAACAAAATTTTAGTACGGGTTCAATCACATGGGCAAATGTCGAATCATTGAAACAGTTGACTAAATTACCAATTATATGCAAAGGAATATTATCACCCATTGATGCAGAATTAGCAATCAAACATGGAGCAAATGGAATCGTTGTGAGGTTCGATTATTTATCCCTGATATTGTATGACTTCTAGAAGCTTGTTCTTTTCATTTTCAGTAATCATGGTGGAAGACAAGTTGATACAGCGCCAGCAGCGATCGAATGTCTAGAAGATATTGTGAAAGTAGTCGATGGACGAGCTGAAGGTAATTGATTTGAGTGATCATTTTGCAATGCATTTAGTCATTCTTCTGTAGTTTTCGTTGATACGGGTATTCGAAGTGGAACAGATGTGTTAAAAGCATTAGCGTTAGGTGCACGTGGCGTACTTGTCGGTCGACCAATTTTATACGGATTAACTTGCGGCGGACATGATGGAGTGAAAAGAGTATTAGAAACACTGAAACGTGAATTAATGTATGATATGGCTTGTTGTGGATTAACATCTATTGATCAAATCGACGCAAATATTCTTTATCAACACATATAACGAATATTTATCTGAGTATCTCTCGAAAATCATACAAAGAAACGCGATTAGGTGATGATAAATCTGTTTGCATATCTTACTAAACAGAAGAAAAACCTTTAGTCAAAGTTTGCTCTTAAAAGTAATGAGATGTGATATCCTTAACTATAGACTCATAATGACCGTTTAGTTTAGTTTTACATTTATTCCAAAAGAGGAAAAAATTGAGAAAAGTTCTCAGAACGAACAAAACATTCATTAATACTCAATGATTTGATCTGTGCACAATTGAATTGATTTGGATCACTCGTAAAATTGTTTGTCAATAACATTAATTGTTCATAGTAAATATGAAGTTTACAAAAACGTGGTAAATGTGTATACCGATTACATAATAATTGTTGGATATAAGTAATATGTGTCAAACGGAGATCAAGATCAATTAATCGATTGAATGTCACAATTGGATATTCTTCGAAAATTTTCTTTGCCGATGAATTACATATCATCAAGGTTTTAATAAATGGAAAACATTTACTTACTTTATGAAAGAAATGATAATCCCAAGAAATCGTATCATAAATAACTAATGTTCGAACATTAATAAACATATCAGTTGTAAAGGTACTAGATAATCTTAGAAAGACTTTAAATTGATATGGAATGGAATAAACATGACATCGATAGATGTTATTTGCTGAACATTCATGAACATATGATCTGACTTGTTGCTGAAGTTGATCATTCGAAGGATAGGCAATTTGGTTTTCGACATCATGATTCAATCGATAAAGAGAAGTGTGAATACTAAAATGAAATCTCTTCAATTGCGAAAGATGGGTTAAGATGTTCGTTTGAAGATGATTTCCATCGACAACGGTAGATGCATCTCGTTTTGTAACAGATACAGATAAGTGAAGTTCTTCTAAATTTAACATTCGTTGTAGAAATGGTACAAGAAGATCATCATAGGCATAAGTCTGTTTATATGAAGTTAATGAAAAAGATTTCAGTTGAGAGAAGTTGTCCTATTTGAACAATGGATGATTATCATTCGATGTTTGAAAATAAGGAATACACGACTTACTCGATTATCGATCGATGATAAGTTTGAAGAGATTTCTTCAATATAAACTATGTAATGAGATAAGGATGGAAACCGGCCATCGAGAAGAAAAAGACAGTCGTCAAATGTTTTTAATTCGATATTCAATTTTGTCAATGTTGAAGAATTTGTTGACGAAAATTGAGAGATGGAAATATCTCGATCTGAAATCTGACTGGATTGATGAAAAGTTAATTCTAATAAAGATTTTGATTGTGATATAATCAATTCGAATAGATTGAAATCATTGCCGATATCATCAATCAAATAAACATGTAAATGTGTCATTTTTTCAAGCAACACTTTCAATCGATTACGATTTTCTAAAAAGAATAAATTCCAAAATCAAGATCAATACAAATAATTTCCTTACCTATAAGATGTTCAATAAGTATTTTTGTCGAGAAATTCATTAATGATAAAGATGACACATTTGGAAAATCGACAGCATGAAGGACACGTGCAACTGCACTCGGTTCAACAATAAGTTTCCTTACTTTATCATGGATATGAGGCAAAATTTGTTCACAAACTCGATCGATTATTAAATCGTTCATTGGAGAAATCGAATTATCCCATGATTTGATTGTAAAATCAAGTTCATCAACATAGAGATGATCGAATAATAATCGGTCAAGACGATCATGAATGGCACTTTGTCGATATAATGTATCGACAACATTCATTTTTTTCAATATGAAAACAAGAATTTCATCGGGTAAATCGAGTAAATTCATTTTGATTGCTTTGTAGTAGATGTATGCTAGTTCATATTTCGTTGACTGACGACGCCAACGAATATATTCTTTTTCTGCTCGACCCTACAAACAAAGACATTGACCGTATGCTGTCATGTTGCGTTCATTGCGCTCGCGTCTGAAAATATTCGCACAATAGACGATAAACTCGTCCAATAAGCTCGCGATTTGCTTGATACATTGTGTTAAGGATCAAAACAGACAGACTAAGGGGTCAATTACACCGAAAAAATAATGTTGAATTAAGAAACATGATTGGCCCTTTTACATAGCAACGTGAATTGTATTGGTTAACTTCATGTTAAATTTCTGGCTGTCCGATCCCTTAAAATAAACATACATTCCATTGATAAAAATTATTGAGGAATGCATGCTGTTGAAGAATGAGACGTTTTGATCTGTTTTAACTCATAATAATCTATCATATCTCCCTTTCTGTTACAGGCATATTACTGAAATGTTTTCACGTATTCGTTAAGTACTCCTGTACTTGCTCGTCTCGGTATTTCATTGGCATTTCTTTCTCTCTTTTTGTTATTACAGTATTCATGTTCGATTCAGTTTTGGATCGAGATTGAAACAAAGAGAGTCGAATAAAAGATCTCTAATACTTTTCTCTCTTGACATATTATCATGAAGATTTTATGTAATCGTTTTCAGTTGAAAACAATAACTTGATGAAAGGACCAATCGTCAACTACGAAAAATTTGATTCTCAATCATTTAATTACTTATTTAACGATCGTAATTATTGGTGGATAGTCTGTTTAATTTACAGAACTATTTATTAAAATTTCAGTTGTCATAAAACAGTGAACAGACATTTTCTCCATGGAATCAATCCTCAGCAAGCTTTTTTTTTCAGGTTTTCATACTCAACTGAAGAGGGGAAGAGAGAGACGTACAGAATGCAGCCTTTCCAAATTAAACTGATAAAAAAATTCAAATAATTATTGAAACTGTGAAAGATCCAGCATTTCTTCTCGTCTATAAAAGAATAGAAAGAGAGAACCGCTCACATTTCTCAAATACATGTGGTTAGAGAAACCAAAATATATCTATAAAAGCAGCTTTTAACTTTGTATTTCTGTACAAACATTTGTTGCACATACATCGAAAATCAGAAAAACGGCATGGCTGATGAGGTGATGTAATATTTTAGAGATATTCAAACTCATTATGTTTTTTTTCTGGATCATATAGGATAATGTGCGAAATTGTGTGCGCAATGAATTACATCAAGCAACAAAAACAGAAAATGCTAAAACCAAACGCACCACCTAATGCACAAAAAGATTTGCACGATAATAAGGTCTGGGAAGAAACAAAATACCCAGGTTATTATGCCACGGTCGGTTCCGGCGGCAAGGAACCTGCCGGAACTTGCTGGAATCGAGAAGAGCTGTACCGGAACCGATTCAGATTTCAACGGATCGAGTCGTCGGAATGATCGACCTGGGTACATGTAAATCTTCGAAGAAACAGTAGCTTGATGATTTTTTCTTTGTCGTCATGAATAGAGAACCTCATAATTAATATTCCTTTTTCCGAGTTTCTTTCTTTTTAAGTTGTCTTTTAGTTTTTATCATATTCTATTCAGTGTCTTATTTTATCATTATTTGGAATAATGCGTCGTTGTTCTAACATGTAGTTGTGAAGATGAGAAAAATTTCAATAACTATCTTACTCAATATAGTGCATGAGAAATAGAAAATGTAATATTTTATCTTTCATCAAAATAAAAGAATCCTATTTGAGTTGATTGTCCTAATTAATTATCAAACTCAGATAACTGCCATGAATACTATTTTCTAATCGTTTTGCTTTTATTTTGACGAATGTCAACTCAATTCGGATTGTTGATTATCGGACATAATAAATACGAAAAGATCTCACTTTTAAAGTAAATATTTGTTCCTGAAAACACCACAAAACTAAATAGCAATAAAGCCAAAAGATAATCACTGTTTTTCTACTTTTGAATATTCTACTACGATCATCTTAATTGATAATGTATTCTTGCCTTCTTTTAACACTGCCGTTACCATGAACAACACAACGCGAAATAAATTAAGAAAAAGAATTTATAAGCAGCTAATCTTTCTGTAGTCTCCAATACGAACACGAACACAATCGTTCATGTACTAATCGATTAGTGACGTGTCTATTTAAAGAAATTGTGTATATTCTATGTTGCTAATTCCTATTTGTTACATACATCGATTATTGAAGATTTTATAATGAATTTATAGAAGTGGAGTTTCATGTTTCTGATCTGTCTATTCTTACAATATAAATTAGAAAACTAATTCTTGAATTACAAATAAAGAATCAACATTTACAGTATGAGAAAAAAAACAACAAGACTCTCATTTACATATCATATTCTTAGACCGTATACAACTTTCGTTAGTACTGAAAAAGCTTTCAGCGCAATCTCTAACGGGATTAAAAATGTGAAAAACGGCCCACCTGGAGAAACTTTAAGCACATATAGTGGTCAATTTATTTCGCAGTCTGCATTCCTATTTATTTAAACTTATGCTGTTGAAAATAATATATGATTGCAAATAGCGATTTCCGCTGTTTTTTAAGAACTTTTTGCTTCATCAATCACAAATATGTGATGCTTCTTACTGCGCTTCCATTAGCGGATAACGATCTGTGACGCGATTTACGCGCGTCAGTGTAACCAAGTTGAGAACGAACCTGTCTGTGAGACAATGATACACAGTTTATTTGGATTTTTTCCTAACAAGCTCTCGCTCTTCATTTTTTAGGTGCACGTCTTTACAGAAAACAGTGAATTACGGTCAAGTATAGTAACAAATCCAGGACAGACGGGTTATAGGTTACATGCGTGCCAAAAGGCAGGTGGCAACAATAAGTCCCGTTAGAGTCCGTAATGATCTACGGGATAAGGATTTGCGGGCGGAAAATCCCTCTGTCTTCCAAAACTCTTTAACATCTTTCTGCGAGTCCTGTCTTACAAAAAGAAAGGAACAGTTAGCTTAATAGCAAATACATCCGCTGTAGATGTTTCTACTGCAAATAGACTATTAAACCTATGAATATTTACTCTCTATATAAGCTAGACTATTACAGCGCACCCGTATGTAGTTAACCGTTTATGCCTAATGACCTTTGAATCTTTTGGTCAAACTATGAATTTCGTAACGGTCTGTGATGGGTGAGGGGGCGGAGGGAAGTGGTAAAAATTTTTGTCCTTAAACGCTTCAACACTCTCCTTCGGGTCGTGTTTCACAAAAGAAAAACAAATGTAAAAACTGGCATTACTAAAGTAGTTTTCATCGATATCTGGTAAGACTATTCGAGTATTCAATGCCATACCGACTTTAACGGCTGTTTCGGATGGCAATTGACGAATTCGACTGATGGTTTGTGTTAACCAACCGACAAGAACATCATTTGTCGATCATTTTTCATTGGCAATACCAAGCCCATGTCGCCTCTTTTTTAGTAGCTGCGTCGCAATTGCGCGCATTGGCTTTTTTGCGACGCAGTTGCGCGTAACTGCGTCGCAGTGGCCGCAGCCAGAGTCACATACACGATACTGCGCTTACTGTGACGCATTTGCGATCGCAGCTGCGCCGCAGTTATCGCAGTCAGCCACATAAATGATACTGCGCTTCCTGTGTCACAGTTGCGCGCATTTGCGACGCAGTTACCGCATTTACCTCGATTGTTTATTGGATGATTTAAATAACAATGGAAAATATCGTTAGTAGGGTATAAAAGGAGATGTAAAAGACGTTTAAGCTCATTTCTTCAACTTCCAACTACCGAATCACTTCAATATTTTAGCAGGTAACTTCGATAGACAATTCACACCTAGCATCCACATGAGTCATTTGTTAGATGAGTCATTGGTATGAGTCATCCGAAACATGAGTCATCATTTTTCGACCAATAGGATTTGAGATAGCAGTTTTTCAGCGAAATGGGATTCCGATGCCGGCCTTTGAGATTTACATGACTTCCTATGCTCTTTTTCGATCAACGTGATCAAAAATCTTCAAATTAGCAACCAGTTATAGTATTAGAAGATA